CCTTCGCGCTGGACGGCGCCTCGGGGGACCTGTTCCTGGCGCGGGCGCTGGACTACGAGCGGACGCCCCACTACCTGCTGCGGGTGTCCGCCCGCGACCCCCGCGCGCGCCCGCCCCGCCACGCCAGCGTCTTCCTCAGCATCGCCGTGGACGACCGGAACGACCACGCCCCGGCCTTCCCCGACGAGTTCGTGGTGCTCGGGGTGGAAGAGAACGTTCCGGAAGGCACGCTGGTGTACAACTTCACCGCCAAGGACGGGGACGGCGGCTTCCTCAACAGCCGCGTGCACTACTCCATGGAGCCCCACCCGGCGGGGCCCAGCCCGTTCCTCATCCACCCGGCCCGCGGCTCGCTGCTCACCGCCGCGCCGCTGGACCGAGAGCGCGTCCCGCGCGTGCCCCTCACCGTCACGGCCTCCGACCAGGCCGCCAACCTGACGGACCGGCGCCTGCGCTCCGTCGTGGCGCACGTGGTGATCCTCGACGTGAACGACCACAGCCCCGCCTTCGTGTCGGCGCCCGTGGCCTGGGTCCCAGAAGACGCGGCCGTGGGCTCCACGGTGCACCACGTCCGAGCCCACGATCCAGACCAGGGCAGGAACGGCAGCGTCACCTACAGCATCCTCCCGGGAGACCACGGCGGGGCCTTCGCGCTGGACGCAGCCTCAGGTAGGGATACCCGGATGCCAGGATGCCCGGATGCAAGCTCCCTTCAGTGTACTTCACCACCATGGCTTGTAACCTCAGACTGCCCTTCTACTGGCTTTTCTTCTTCTTTTTGCACAATGCATTATTCTTGATTCGAGGTGCAACGTGCCACATCCCGAGATCTGGTTCCTGCTGCTTACCTGACCTCCCATGTCCCTTGCCTCCTCCCTCCTCTCTCCAGCCCCTGACACCTTCCTTCCATCCTGAGTCCAGGATGTTTCTTGTTACAGTGGAGCCGTGTGGTACTGGTTCTGTGCCTGGTTTATTCTCCGTGGCACAGTGGTCTCAAGATCCATCCGTGTGGTCACATGTTACAGAATCTCCTGTACAAAGCTTCTCTTTGGGTCAGTGTGGGGCTTGAACTCAGGGCCTGGACGCCGTCCCTGGGCTTTTTAAAAGCTCAAGGCGAGCGCCCTCCCACTTTGAGGCACAGCGCCCCTTCCAGTTTCCTGGCGGTTAATTGGAGATGAGTTTCAGGGACTTTCTTGCCCAGGCTGGCTTCAAACCCGGATCCTCAGATCCCAGCTTCCTTAGAAGCTAGGACTACAGGCCTGAGCCACCCGCACTTGACTGTATGTTTTTTTTCTTCTTCAGGAATCTCAATAATAAACTTTTTCCAGATGAAATATTTTCCATTGCCAGCGACAGTGGTCAAGGGTTTCAATTTCTCCACTTCCTTGCCAGCTCTCCTATTCTGGTTTTCAATAATAGCCATCCTCACAGTCGCCCTACCTCATGGTTCTGACGTGCATTTCCATGTGGATTGGTGACACTAAGCATTTTTTCCATGTACCTTTTGGCCAGTTGGATATTTTATTCAAGTCCTCTGTTCATTTGCACAACAGTTCTTTTTTTCTTGTTTAGTTGCAAGAGTTCTTTATATGTGCTGGCTCTTAACCCTTCAGATATTTTCCCCTCTGGAATATAGGGTGGCCTTTGTCATTGCCGTGAAAACAAACAAACCCTGTAGGTGGCTGAAATCTACTTGCTTATTTATGTTTCTATGGTCTAGTCTTTTATTGTTGTGTGTTCATGCAAAGATTGATATCATGAAGCTTTCCCCTCTCTTTTCTTCTAGGAGTTGTAAGGGTTCCATGTCTTGCATTGAAATCCTCAATCTATTTTGAGTTTATTTGTATGTATGGTATGAAATAATGGGCCAAATTAATTTTTTTCATGGAGATAACTAGTTTTCCTCTTCTATCTGTTGAAGAGATTAATCCTTCCCTTTATGTTTCCTTGCCAGGTGGTGTGTCTACTCTGTTCCCTTGATTTATATAAGTTCAGGCCAGTACCACACTGCTTTCATGGTGGTAACTCGGTGGTATGTTTTGAAGTCAGGAAGGATGATGTTTCAAGTTGTACTTTCTTTTCTCAAGATTATTTTGGCTACTGCGGGTCATTTAAGATTCTAATTTTTGCCCTACTTCTGTGAATAAAAATGCTACTGGAACTTTTGTAGGGATTGCATTGTAGAGTGAACATTTTCTTCATGAACATGAGATACCTTCCCATTTTTCTCTTGTTCAACTCCTTGCATCAATGTTACGTGAATTTGAGTATATGCATTGCTTACTACCTTAGTTAATTTTTTCCTAAATGTTTTATTCCTTGTGCTTGTCCTGTGAGGTTGTCTTCCTAATTTCCTTTTCAGATAACTTCATATTATATTATATTATAGAAATTCAACTGCTTCACTTATGTTCATGTTATGTTTTGTAAATTTATCAAATTTATCTATCATAATAATATAGCTGGGTACTGTTGGCTCATGCATGTAATCCTAGCTATTCAGGAAGCTAAGATCTGAGGACTGTGGTTCAAACCCAGCCTGGACAAGAAAATCTGTGAGACTCTTACCTCCAACTAACCACTAAAAAAAGCCAGAAATGGAGCTATGGCTAACCTTAAGCAAAAAAAGCCCAGGCCTTGAGTTCAAGCCCTTCCCCCCCCCATGCCCACACACTTATGTGTTCTTCAAACTGGGATAATTTTATTTTTTCTGATTTCGGTGTCTTTTTTTTTCTTTTTCTGTCACTTGTAGTCAGTACTTGCTTACAGTTTTCCTTTTTATTTTCTTCTCTTAAAAATGCTAGTTCTTAGGATGTATATGTACTTTGATGTAAAAAATTTTGTCTTGTTATGCTGCTTAACATATATGTGTGCATATATGTATAATGTATCACATATGTATATATGATATATATGATAGATTATATCTTTTTACTTATGACATATACTATATATATGTAAAAAGAGTGTCTTTGGAAAGCAAATATAGTTGGCTTGCTGTCCTCTCATAGGCTAGATATATAGAGTAGCAAGCTTCTTTGCCTCAATCTGGGTCCTTGCAGTTGGCCACGGTGGCAAAGCTAAGTCAAGGTAGGGCCATGACACAGCCACAGCATTATTTAAGGGGGCTTTTTGAGACAGAATCTCTACATTAAGCAAACAAATATTGTTTGTAGTTGGAAGTAAGTCACGTATTTTATTTATTTATTTGTTTATTTATTTATTTGTTCGGTTGTGGGGCTTGAATGGTTACATTCATTTGGTCATTAAGGACCTTGCTTTCACACCAGCTGTGATATTCTGCTTTTTGCAGAAGCATTTCTTTCTTTTCTCTTTTCTTTTCTTTTCTTTCTTTTCTTCTCTTCTCTCTCTTTTTTTTTCTGGGAATTGAATGCAGAGTTGTCATTCCTGATCACTTCAGTTGTCTGGCTCTCACCAGGTTTTCCAGATAATCTATGCGAGAAGTTTTTATGTGACTTGAGGAAAGAATACGTTCAAAATATGAGTCTTGTGAATTTGGCAATGACCATTCTCCACTTGATTGCCAGAGGATATTGAAAATTTAATGAACCTCAGTCTTGTTTTCTGAAAAGTAAAGTCATCCTGATGTGAGCCTTTGGAAAAAAAATTCTCAAATGTCTACCGCTTGACTCAGTTGTTAATAAGAGCATTATTTGGAATGGAACTGAGTGTGGAGGATTTAGAAGCCATGATTATGGCCTGGCTCTATTCTGTTGGAAAATTTCATCAAAATATTCATTAAGTCCTGTCCATATGGTTCCACTCTGAGGCGAGCATGGCTACCACAGCACCCCACTGACAGAGAGAGAGTCCAGACCCAGCTGCTGCCTTCCATGAGAACCACAGTTCTCCAAGGGCCCATTCAGCAAGCCTCCCAGTGTTTTCTGAGGTGGCTTAGGAAGGTTTAGTTGGGATTGCTAATGACAATGAATAAAATTAGAATTGTGCCTCGGTAAGGTAGGTACATGAATCTTGAGCAATCACAGTAGCTGTGGTTGAGGTATTTTTTCCAAAGGCATAAAATGACCATCACTAACAGCATTCACATGAGACAGATTCACTCCCCCCCTTTCAAGTCTCTTGTTCTTATAAAGAAGACATACTGAATTTTCCATCAGCTAATGGCTGTGATGGATAAAGGGGTGGTTAATTATTGAAAAACTGTTTCGTAAAATCTGATTTAATAAAGCTCTTTAATTATTTGAGGGCAAGTTCTTCGAGGAGGGGAGAAGCAATCAATCCCAAAAGAAAAATAAGATTTTGGAATCATGTCACAGCTGTGTGGTACAGCATTTATGTGGTTTAGGTACCTCAATGGCAGCAGGACAGACCTTGGTTTATGTATGAATTTTATTTTCTACATTATAACATTCCTACTTTTTATTGTTAATAAAGCAAAAGGCAGTTTGCTCAGAGTAAAGAGAAGAAATAAGAACTTTGTAGCAAAAATAAGAAGAATTCGTTAGCAAAAATCAACTGTTTTGCTGGGCACTGGTGGCTTACACTTGCAATCCCAGCTACTCAAGAATCTGAGACACAGAAAATTGTAGTTCCATGCCAGCCCAGCTTGAAAAGTCTGTGAGATCCCATCCCCAATAACTAGTATAAAGCTAGACTAGAGGCATGACTACTCAAGTGGTAGAGCATCAGTTGAGCAAGCAAGCTGGGTGCAAGACTGAATTCAAACTGTTATCAACAAAAAGAAAACAAAAACTAAATTAATATCATTATACTCTAATTTTTATCACTTAGTTATTTCAAAATATGTCATGTGACCTATACACAGTATACAGAGTATATTTATGTATATATAAACACACATGTGTGTGCATATTTAGTATAGGTGTCTTTTAAAGTGAGGAAAATGTTAGGTGATTGTTTCAATGGAGTGTTTTCATTAGGCAGTAGTATAAGACCAATTTGATTTATATTTTAAACCGATTTTTTTGACTAAAATTGTTAACATTCTTTGTGCCCATACTATATACCTAGGAATTGAGCTCAGGACCTTGTGTTCTAGCTTGGCTTTTTCACTCCTGGCTGGTGCTCTACCACCTGAGCCACTTCCCTATTCTTAGGGGTTTTTTTGTTTTGTTTTGTTTTGATTTTTGCTAATTGAGTGTAAGAGTCTCTCGGGTTTGTCTTCCTGGATTGTTTTCACACCTTAGTTCTCAGATCTCAGTCTCCTGAGTCACTAGGATTGTGGCCTTGAGTCACTGGCACCTGACTGAGAGTATTCATTCTTTACTATAGATAACATAGGAATTTAAATTTAATTCAGCACGTCATTCTTATTTTATGATTCATTCTTTGACAAAAGAAAGTTCTGCATTTTGAACAAGTTCAAGTAAGTTAGACATAGATTAGAACAGACCCAACTAATCTAATTGTATTTATAACATATGGATCTCATGTTTCTCAAAACAGGCCTACTGACTACAGCTTGTCCTTTGGATTATGAAATCAGAACTCAGTATATCCTGACCATCATGGCCCGGGATGGTGGCACACCAGCGCTGTCCTCCTCTCAGATAGTGACTGTGACTGTTCTTGACGTGAATGACCAGGCCCCGCTGTTCATGCAGCCGCTGTATGAAGCTTCTGTTAAAGAAAATCAAAGTCCAGGAGCGTTTGTCACAAGGGTTGAAGCTGAGGACAGAGATTTAGGTAATTAAGAGATAGGGAAACTGAGGGGAAATGAACCCCCACAAACAGTTGCTACTTATCCAGATTTCCAGTATTTTGCATACATGCCCAAACACATAAAAATGCATGCTTTTATTTAGCACTGGTGATTTTATTACTAGCTAGAATCCTAGAACTTTTACTTAAGCTGTGTATCCTTGAGCAGACTACTAATCTTCTGTGTTCCTCTGATAGATGTGAAATGTAGATGACAAGAGTGTTTAATTTGGCATTCTATTATGAGAATGAATGAATTATTACATTTACAGAGCTCAGATCAACTTCCTTCGTGACTGTTGTAACTGTTATAATTTCTATCAACCTCTGAATACAGATAACAACATTGGAGTGAACAATTACCCTGGATAGAATTTTATAAATTTCAGGGCTGGGAAGGTGGCTCGGTGGTAGAGCACTTGCCTTGTATGCCTGAGGCCCTGGGTTCGATTCCTCAGCACCACATAAGCAAAAAGAAAAAAGCCGGAAGTGGCGCTGTGGCTCAAGTGGTAGAGCGCTAGCCTTGAGCTGAAGAGTTGAGGGACAGCGCCCAGGCCCAGAGTTCAGGCCCCAGGACCGGAGGCAAAAAACAAAAAAAACAACAACAACAGAATTTTATAAATTTCATAGACTTGCTCTTTGATGTCTTCAAATCTCTTCTGGCATTTAAGTTTCAGTAATATTAACAATATTCTGTTTTATTTTAAGCCAAATAATGGTAAAAATTATAGTGCAGTGTTTTCTATTAGCATCATATTCTGAGTTTTTCCATCAGAACTAATATAGTTTAATAAGCCAGTGACTTTTAAATTTACTTTTTCCTATAGTAAGCAACACTATATTTTAGAATATTATTTTGTTCTTTTAAAAATTGTAACATATGTGTTATAGCAATAATAGCACCATCCTCCTTAGATTGTTTATCAAAAAATAACAGATTTCAATCCATACTAAATTTTATGATGTTTGCCAGCCTTACATTTCTGATAAAGAGCATCATTTTAATAAAATGCGTTTGACAGGAAATTGCATGAGAGATAGCCTAGCTTTTCCTCTTTTGGCCAGAGAGGGGCAGTATGATCAAAGAGTTTATCTTCCTTTCCCAAAGAAAGACGGGGCTGGAGTGAGCTAACCATGTTCCTTCTCCTCCACCCCCACCCCCATCTGTGCTTAGAGAATTTGTTTAGCACATTTCTGCCACTATTCATTGTCAGAGCATTGGAAACAATGGAGAACATATATAAACTTTATGTTTCCCGTGCAGTAAAGTTCTATTTGGATGTGCTCTGTTGGGCTGTACATAACGAACATTTCCGACGCCGTGCACTTTAACAATTATGTAACAGTGCCTGTTGCCAGGGACAACTTTATCGATTTTACTTTTTATTTTTACAATGGAATCCACTTGCATCATTGCTTTTAAGAATTGCTCTCAAATGTTTGCATGTATTAACTAAAGATGATTACTATAAATACACTCTTCTGAGTTTTTATAGTCAAGATGCCTAGCCTGAATGCCATTTTGTTTTGGAATGGGCTGTCTGCAACCTGTTCATTATAACTGGATTGAAGGCATGTTATAATAGAGATGATGGTCACAACTCTAAATTAAGATGCAACATTGTTGTTTGTGCCCTTTTGCTTCAGTGGATCTCTGCAGTATACCTCCACATCTTGAGTCTCATGCACTCCTACGAGCTTTCTACATGGTTTGGGTTTACTGGAAATTTCAATGTTTTCAGTGAGGCCAGATCTGTTAAGCAGGTGGTTATATAAATACATGTGCTATTGAATATGTTTTCCTGCAGTCTCCTTGTTTTTCCTTAGTAGGTTAAAACAATGAAATAGGATTATGCATGCGAATTAGGTGACGTAGTCAAGATTTTAACATAATTGGCATCTTGTTGGAATTTATGAATGGTTTACTTTATAGTATGTATTTTAAAAAAATACTACAGCGTTACTCAAGAGCAGAGAGCTCCACATATGTTTTCTAACATTCTACAATGCAGTTTTTTTTTTTTTTTAATGTAGGCGTGGAGTGTTTGGCATTCAAAGCCCATGGGGATGTGAGCACAAATGTTTATGATGTATGAGTCACACTAATTCTCGCAGAAGTTTCTTCTTGTATTAAAGGGGGAGTGAACTACCAGATTTTAACTGGGGTATTAAAACTGCCCCAGCATTCAGTGTCCCCCAACAAAAGCTCCATTGTGAGTGAGCAAAGATCTATTCCTGAAACATCTCTCCCTGGCTCCCTGGCAGGAGGGGTACCCAGTGAGTCATGGGGCTGAAATGTTTGCTCCACAGTGGTGTTTACAAAATATCTTACCAGTATATTGTCATGTAGAAATATAGAATGTGATTCTTGTCTCCTAGAAATGCATTCCCCTACCTGAACGAACTACATCTGATTCCTAGAAAATCTGTCTCTGTGCTGGATGTACCCTGGAACCCTCCAAACCTATACTTGCAGCCAGTTAAATTCATTAAGTTTAAACTGTAAGAAGCATCTAATTTCAGAAGTGCAAAATATGGGGAACAAGTGTCTTAGATAAGTGGTCTTTGCACTTTGGCTTTTGAGTCTCATGGCTTTATCTGCATGGGCAAAACAAAACAAAAGAAGTACCATACTGTTCACTCTTCAAGGGAGACTTCTTTGTATTTGGATCAAGGGATATGAAAGGTAAAACACCTCATGCATGGAAATTTGTAAGAATGTTCACTTTAGTAGACACTGTACTTGGCAAAAATATCCATCGACTCTCTGTGTGTACTTACTAGGTACTCGCTGAAAAGCCCTCTGATTCTTCACCAGCACTATTTCCCCAGTTTTAGATTCAACATAACCCAGGGTACGTGGGAAGATCCACCAGATGGAGGCACAGATCAATCTTACTTTGTGCCCCGTTCTAATAACTGATTTTTACCCAGGTCTTACCGGAGGAATTTAGAGGTAGGCCAGACCATTGGCGCATTCTAAAACTTGAATCTTCCAATTTGAAGTCACGGGACTTTGCTAGAGAAAGTTACAAGGGCATGCTAATGGAAGGTACCACCCACTTAGGCTACTTAGGCTACTTAGTCTTTAGTACTCACCACCTAATTAGTACTTCTGCCAACCCTTAGTACTGTCCTGCTTACCTGTCCCTGAGATTTGATTGACCATCTTTATGTAAATTTCTCCTATAAGTTATTTATAGAAATACTAAAAGAGAAAGACCAATCACAACTTCACTCACTCAGACGACATTCCCTGTTAACCCTTTGGTCTATACCCTTACTGCATTAAATACATTGTATTATTACCATGTATTTGTTTATTAGTCTGTCTCCTCTCTAGATTATAAACTCCTGGATTCAGGACATTTTATCTACTTTTATCACAGATCCTTAAGTTAATGCAAGGTTTGATATCAGAGCTCAATAGATACTTTGGACCAAAGGATCTGGGAGAGCAAAGCAAAGATGTGACTTGCTTCATTTCAAATTCCTTCATGTGTGCATTCCTTCCAACACCCATGCACAATCCTTTTTGTTTTAGATTGCCTAAGGGTACAGGCATTTTGTTGTTGATGAATTCTTTATCTAATAAGATGTTCTTTCCAAACTTTAATCTGGAAAGAGCCTTCTCCCCTAGTTAGAATTAGAATTCTTTAGTAATTCTCTATTGTATTTTATAAAAGGTGGGGGGAGCAAAGTTTTGTCTTTTTTTTTTAAATGTCAGTTCTGGGGCTTGAACTCAGGGCCTAGATGCTATCCCTGAGCTTTTTATGCTGAAGGCTAGGGCTCTACCACTTGAGCCATAGCTCCACTTACAGTTTTTTTTTGGGAGGGGGTTTGGAGGTTTTTGTGGAGTTCAGTCTCACAAACTTTTCTGTCTGGGCTGGCTTTGAGCTTTGATCCTCAGATCTCAGCTTCCTGAGTAGCTAGGATTACAGGTGTAGCCATCGGCGCCCAGCTAGTCTTGTCTTTTTATTAGCTTACTAGCGAGGTGTTTTATGAAGTGAGTCCAGTTTACCTCCTTCTTTAATTCCTGTTCCTTTCTCTAGGACAGACTTTTTTTGTAAGCTTTTATTTCCTGGGAAAGTATTTAGGTTCTTTCGGTCTTTCTCTAGTCTCTCTTACTGAACTCTAACATTGCAGCAAGACTACAGCCATGAGAAAGTGACTGTGTTTCAAAACCTTTACATGAACAAGGAAGGGGTCAGATCTGGCCAGTGATCTATAGTTCGCCATTCTCTGGTCTGACATACATGGCTAAGATATCTAACTCATTACTTCCAAGTTTCATGAGGTCATCAAGTAGAGGATAAATGAGCTGTCCTATTAGATAAATTTTTGGAGTGTGCTAGGTTTCTATGATTTGAGCCAAAAAGAGAAGGGGGAAAACCATTAGTCATTACAGCTAGAGAAAAATATAATTGAATTGAAAAAATTTTAGGATAGAGATCGATGGAATTCACAGGAAAATTTCAAGAGAGAGTCGTGAAAGAATTATTTTTGTATTAGAGATGGCACAACAGAGACAGAGTTAATGACCGATGGAGAAGGCTATAAGAGTTCTTTCCCAATGCCCCATTTCTTTGAAGTATAAAGGAAGTGACTTGTGAGTGACTTGAATGGACAGGGAAAAGTTGCCAGATGACAGTGACATTTCAGTGGTCTCCATCTGTTTTGTTGTGACATTTTTCAGTCTCAAGATCTGTTGGACAATTAAGGAGAACAGAGAGATGTAAGAAATTGGTCTCAATATCCAAAGGGATAGTTGTGAAGTTTCTCTGAGCTGAGTCTTTGCTGGACATCCATGTTTGGCAAAAAACCACAGGACCTAAGTAAAGAAGCAAGGTTGCTGAAGCGAAAGCTCATGGGCCTGAACTGCATAGGAAAGAAAAAAATGGAGGAAAAGGGCTTTGAAGGGCATCAAGAAGAAGTCAGAGGGTGCAAGTGGTCGATCTAGGAGCAGGTATATGGGTATATGTACACACACAAGCACATGTATTGGAACACTCACATTCTTCAGCAGAATATGTCCTCAGAATATCACAAAATGTCTTCAGATCCAGATTTCCATTTGGCTTAGCCAACTGATGGAATTAGACTAAATCGAATTCATTTTTTACTTTCCTAGTTCTCAAGTATGAGGATGTCATGGTTTTTTTTTTTCTTTTCTTTCCTTTTTTTTTTTCCTGGAGGGTTACAAGGGTGTAAGGAGGAAGAAGCGAGTGACTGGTTGAAACCACAAAAATATGGGGAGAATTATGGGAAGAATTATTTTCAAAATGTGAAGTCATTTCTCACTTTAGATAAGAGACTCACTACAAAGTTAAAAAGAAAAAAGAAAAAGCAAGAATCACTGCATAAGCGTCTCTGTGGGTTTGCCTACAGAGGCAGGGCATAAACAGAATCCTTTAGCTGAGTACAACCTTCTAAATAGTAGGTCAGTCTACAGACACTGTCCTGTGTCCCCCAAGCTTACAATTATGTCATTAAATCGCAATCAGGGGTGTTAGAAGGAGTAATTAGGAATATGTTGTAGGGTTGCACACTCGTAAGAAAAAATTATGGGAAGGAAAAAATCCCAAGCATTCACTGTGGGGAGGTCTCAGAAGACTTTTGAAAAATCACTCAGTGCAGCTTAGAGGTCTTTATTCTGCAAGCACAGCCAATGAGATGTTTCTCTTACCTTGATTTGAAGGCTGATTAGGGATCCTGCCTCTCTCATCTATGGAAAAGGAACATGTTCAAGGAGAAATGAGTAAGAAATGGGTCACATTATCCGAAGGGATGGTTGTGAATCTCTCTTCCCCTGCTTTTTTTTTTTTTTTTTTAAGGAATCAACTCCCAACTTCAGTTTGAAATCATGCCAGGCGCTTCCTCTGGGCTTTTCAAGATCAATCCTGACAGTGGAGAGGTGGTGACAGCCACCATACTGGACAGAGAAATTCAGCAAGTTTTTACCCTTTTAGGTAAGGGATTCCTACCCCTACTCCTGTTCTCACCCCAACCTCTTTCCCTATTCCCCCTCCTCCCCTCCCTCCCCCCCCAACCCTCCATGTGCTAAAGATTAGGAAGATCAGCAATGTAAATTTTACATTTCAGTAGGGTGTCTTTAAATGAGCTGTTACTGATCCAAGCCCCTCCATTAGTTTAATCTGATGCTGTTTAGTTAACACAACATAGTTTCCAGGTGAGTTAATGGCCACAACCCATCTGTCTTCTTTGTGTCCCATGCCAGTGCTTGTGCGGGATAGGGGAGCCCCTGAACTGTCTAGCACCACAACAATTCTTTGCACTGTTGAAGATGAAAATGACCACGCCCCGGAATTTATTGTCCCTGACCATGACATCGAGGTTCTAGAGAATCGAGAGCCAGAGACTGTCTATACTGTTTGGGCCTCTGATCAGGATGCTGGCAATAATGGAACTGTCAGATATCACATAATACGTAAGTATCTTTAAATTAAAATTCCCTCTAGGATGCAGACTGGGTTGATATACGGTATTTGGTCATTCTTCTATATTGAGTATCTGTTTTATTTTCCTATGAAACGCACATGCAGTAAGAGCTGATGGCGCTATGGGCATCCTCACTACCTCTGCTGAATTCAGACATTCTGAACCACTGCCCTCCATGTTTGTTTATTTGTTTGTTTGTTGGTCATGGGGCTTGAACTCATGGCCTGGGCACTATCCCTGAGCTCTTTTGCTCAAGACTAGCACTCTACAACTTAGAGCCACAACTCCACTTTCAGTTTTCTGGCAGTTAATTGGAGATGAGAGTCATCTGGACTTTTCAGCCTGGGGATTCGCAGGGATCAGCCTTCTGAGTAGCTAGGATTGCAGGCATGAGCCACCAGCGCCCAGCCTAAAGCTGGGCCTATAATCCTAAGAGGTAGAAGCAGAAGGATTGAATGTCTAGGTCAGCCTGGGCAAAGGTAGTGATGAGACCTTGTCTCAAAAACAAAATAAAAACAAAAAGACTGGGCACGCTATAGAGCTTAGTGGCAAGTCCTTGCCTAGCCCTGCAAAAATAAAATAAAAAGAAGAAGGAGGAGGAGAGCCCTCAAGGCTATGACTTGAGACACAGTTCTAGTGTGATAGCCTTTCCTGTCCAAGCTTGCTTCAAACTGTGATCCTCAGATCTCACCCTCCTGACTTGCTAAGATTATAGGTGTGAGCTGTATTACAGTACTTGACTGTATCTTGTTTTTAATTCCTTAAAATAATGTTTCATTCCTTTATCCTTGTAGGGAACCATATAAGACCCTCAAAATCATTTGGCAGGACAGAGCCAAGTATTCTCATTGTCTGCCTATTTTGATAATTTTGTATGGATGAAGAGTGATGTCATTAATATTTAAATGGTCCTTGGCAGATAAAAGTAATCAGAAATAAATTTTTAGCAGTACTTGGGTTTGAACTCAGGGTCTTAGGCTTGCCAAACAGGTGTTCTACCACTAGAGCCATGCCTCCAGGCCTTTTTGCTTTAGTTATTTTTTGCATAAGGCCAACCTGAACTGCAGCTCTCCTATTTACACTGGTGCATAGCTAAGGTGAAGATGCCCACTACTACACCCAGCTTTTTATTTATTATTTATTTATTATTATCGTTTAGTCCTAAGGGGTTTCAATTCAACGTGTCAGTTAGTGAGTAAAATACATTTTGATTAGTGTTACCCCTTTCAGCATTCTCTCCATCTACTCCCCACCTTTTATTCAATAACAATGGGTCTTGCTAATCTGTTGTGAGGGGGGCCAGCCTCAATCTTTGATCCTTTAGATCTTAGCCTTCTGTAATAACTAGTGAGCCATTGTGGCTGGTTTAGGAAAGAAATATTTTTAAAGCATATATATTCATAAACATATATGTATATATATTGTTAGCAAACAGATATCACCTTTGCAATTCAAATACATTTTTCATTGCCTTCTGTAACAGATGGGAACACCAATGACTCCTTCGCTATTCATGAAATGTCAGGGGAACTGTCGACCACACATGCCTTGGACAGGGAGCAAGTCAGCAATTTCACGCTACTCATCCTCTGCTCTGACTTGGGGCATCCACCTCGGAGCTCTGTGCTGCAGTTGCAAGTCAGGGTTTTGGATGACAATGACAACAGCCCCTCCTTTCCTCTGCTGTATTACCAGTCTTCCGTGAGAGAAGATGCTCAACTAGGGACTGTGGTTCTGGTCCTGGCAGCCAAGGATAGGGACCTGGGCCGGAATGGGCAAACAGAGTACTTTCTGATGGACGAGTCTTCCAGTGCATTCACCATTGATTCTGCAGCAGGCATTCTGAGAACCACCCTCACTCTGGACCGGGAAACCACATCTCAGTATACATTTCGAGCCGTGGCCAGAGACTGTAGCATCCAGGGCTCAAGAAGCACCACAGTAACCGTAAACATAGCTGTCACTGATGCTAACGACAATGACCCCATTTTGGAACAGAACCCTTTTGATATCTTCCTTTCACCCCAGTTGCCAACAAACCAAACGATTGCTTTTTTGAGAGCGCATGATCCAGACATGGGGCCCAATGGAACTGTCTCTTTTAGTTTTGCTGATGCTCAGTCAGTGGTTTCTATTGACGCGTACACAGGAGAAATTACACTTCGGCAAAATCCATCTCCAGAATATTTTCCTCTCTGGTTACAGTTAAGAGTCACCGATCATGGGGCCCCAGCCAGGGCAACCACCGGCCTTGTGGTCATTCACATGGAAGGAGAAGCTGTAAAGGTTTCCTTCAGCCAGCATGTATATAAAGGATTTGTGATGGAAAATTGTGAGGCAGGTGAGTGTCCCCTCAAGTCGTTTGTAGACTCTGTCTGCTTTGATTTTTTCAAATGTTCAGTACTATAGATGGAATGCTTTTGAAGATTCAGTGGGAAACTTCTGAGTGGAAGGTGCATGTGGTAGAGGCTGCTTGCCTCATGGTGGCCAGGGACTAGAGAGGAAATGCCCATGCCCAGCCTGACTTCCCTCCTTCCATCCCACCCCTTACTCTCTACTCTCTTGAGCTTTTTCCTTTGAAATGGTGGCATTCACATTTAGGGTTTTTCTCCCCCCACACACACCTCAAGAATCTCTGAAACACCTTCACAGATATACCCAGGCATGCATTTTACTTATCCCTTCTGGCCTCTCTCAGCTAGTCAAGATGCTGGTCAAGATTAACCATCACAATGTCAATTACAGTTTCCAATTTAAAAGTAAGTCTCAGTAGGCAAAATCTCTGTAAGAGGCAGGCATGAATTGCTCACTTATTCATGAGTGTTTGTAGCTAGAAGTTGCAGTCAACCATAGGCAGAGACTGGTCAGCCAGCAGGATGACCAGAAGAGTGGTCCATGGAGCTCCCTGTCCATCCTATTCCTACTGCTGCCCAGCCCTGTCCCCTTACTCCCCCTCACCCCTAAATTTGAATCTAGATTAGAGAGACTTCAACCATCTTGTTGAGTCCTGTTAAAAGCTCAGGGTAGAGCTAGGCACTGGTGGCTATGGTTATAATGCTGAGATCTGAGAATGGTGGTTAGAAGCCAGTTGGGGCAGGAACGTTTGTGAGACTTAACCTTCAATTAACCACCAAAAATCTGGAAGTGGAGCAGTGGTAGAGTTCTTGCTTTGAGGGGGAAAAAACCCTCAGGGACAATGCTTAAGCCCTGAATGTAAGCCAAAACAAAATAAAACCAAAGCTAAAGATAAGCCACTTGGTGGCCAACAGTGTCTGAGCCTACTACAGTGTGTAAAGAAACCTTTTACAAGTGAGCTTTGGTTTCTCTTGTTTCCCTTCTGATGAACCAGCAATTGTTTCCTCTGCCTAGGCTGTTCACAAATGCATATATTTCTGTGAATTTTATTATTCTGGAAAAACTGAAATGATATATGATGTTTATGCCCCGATTTGAAGTAAACACTCAAACTTGGGAAAAGTTGAAATAATATTAAAACACGATGACACATGGGGGCACTCTAACTAGTAAAATAGACAATATTGTCAAGTAAATTACTGAGATCTTGGTATTTTGGAGGGGGGAAAAAAGAACCCTTCTTTTGACCCTTTGGCAGTTGATCCAGTGACTTCTGGCTGCTACTGTCTATGTGCAGGGCCAGATGTTAGAGTACAGAACTGTGACTGGAGTTGGTACAGCTCGGGGGAGCTCTGTGTGTCTCCAGGCATGGCACAGGGACAGGCAGGTATGGGAAACAGAATGACCTGTCCCTGGCTGCTGGTAGCTCTACCTGTAATCCCAGCTACTTAGGAGATCGAGATCTGAAGATCACAGTTCAAAGCCAGCTTGGACAAACAGTCCATATCTCTAATTTGCTGGAAGTCGAGCTGTCACTCAAGTGATAGAACATCATCATCCTTGAGTAAAAAAGCTAAGGAATAGTGCCTAGGCCTTGAGTACTGAACGTGTGCACACACGTGCACACACACACACATGAAACTTGTCACTGGTGTACTGTAAAAATTAAATTGAGTTGTAAAGAATTCTTACTCATCACCTGGATTTACTATTATTGCTATTTTTCTCCATCTCAAATCCTTACTTGCAGTTTATAAAGTAACTGGGTTATATATTCTCAGCAGAGTAAGTAGTAATTTCAAAACAGTTGTATGGCTATGACAAAACAGTTGTAAAGCCTTATCATCCAGTTTATTTTTCTCTCCAAAACCAGATAAGTGTTATACTTTCCAAGGAGATAGATGACATTGGCTCTGAAATACAGCTCAACCTATAAATTCTTTTTGTTTTTTCTTTTTGTGCTGATTATGGGGCTTGAAATCAGGACCTGGGCTCTATCCTTGAGATTCTTTTGGTCAAGGCTAGCACCCTAAGCACTCTACCACTTAAGCCAGATTGCCACTTCTGGCTTTTTGGTAGTTTATTGGAGATAGAGAGTTTCACACATTTTCCAGCTTGAGCTGGCTTTGAACCACAATCCTCAGATCTGAGCATCCTGAGTAGTTAGGATTACAGGCTTGAGCCACTGGCACCTGGCCCCACATATAAATTCTTATGAGGAGGAAAAGAAGAAAGCAAATAGTGTCCGTCCTTCCTCTTATCATGACAATCTCATAGGTGGAATGGCATTCATTGGAATGAGTACCGTCTAGGTGGCCATTTATAATATGGATCTCATGACCTGTCTTCTGATTCAAAGGTAGCTCCACAGGAGATGGAAGACCTGAGGCAAGACCAGGTTTTTCTCAGAAGGTACATATCACCTGAGGCAGGTTTTAACTTTGAATCATCCCAGTTATACATGTAAGCCTCAGACAAAGACCTCATTTATTAAAATAGCTGGGCGCTCCATCCCCAGGGTGACCAGATGTCTGTACTTGTAAGCCCTTATGAAGGAGGCTAGAAAGTATGCACAGACCATGATGCCTTCACGTTTATTTTGTAAAGCAGGATTTCTCTGTGGGTTATAGTAGTCTTGTTGAAATGACCAGTTTTCTTTTTCTAGAAAAAAAAGAAAAGATGCAGGAAGCCAAGTGGTAATCAGAAAGTTGCTTGCTAATCCTAAACAATTAAGAGCAGGAGATGAGTCAAGTGTTGACTATCCCCAGCCGGTCATCCTATTTCCTGGAGCAGAGCTTCCCCGGCATTCACTGCCAGGCTGGGCTCCACGATGCTTCATGGACTGTCTGCACCTCCAGTGCTCACCACCTACTTCTGGTTCACACATTCCTCACTGTGGCTAAGCCTTGTGTCTCACTCCAGGCTTCCATCCTGGGAGCCTTTTTATGGTGTCCTTATGGTGATTCTGCCTAACCCTCTGTTCCAAACCATTATGTTTTGTTGGTAAATGTAATCAGGGTTAATATTTCAAAACTCTATTGAGCTGGGTGCTGGTGGCTCATACATAGCTACTCAGGAGGTTAAGATCTGAGGATCAAGGTTTGAAGCCAGCCCTGGGCAGAAAAGTCCCCAGAAAAAGCCCCAGAAAGGTCTGGGGCTTGAACTCATGGCCTCAGAGCTGTTCCCTCAGCTTTTGTGCTCAAGGCTGGTATTCTACCACTGGAGCCACAGCTTCACTACCAGCTTTTTGGTGGTTAATTGGAGATAAGAGTTTCACAGGCTTTCCTGCCCTGCCTGACTTTGAACTGTGATCCTCAGATCTCAGCCTTCTGAGTAGCTAGGCATGACCCATTGGCGCCTGGCTATTTCATTTTTAGTGTAGTTTTCCATGTACAACTTTCCCCTTTGTACTGCTTTGCTGCATCCCATAATAATCATGATGAGGTCCTTTTGTTTTCATCTCAAGATAGTTTCTTTCTAATTTCCTTGTTTACTTCTTTGTTGATGCATTGGTTGTTCACATATTTGGGGATTTTCCAGTTTTCCTTTTCCTAATGATTTCAAGTTTCATTTTGTTGTGGTTGGAAAAGATATTTGGTCTGATTTCAGTCTTGCTAAATTTACTAGCACTTGCTTTGTGACCTAGCATGTGAGCTATCCTGGAGAAAGTTCTGTGTGTCCTTGAGGAAAAGCGTATTCAACGTACTCCATGCATGTTGTCTACATACAGTGATCTACAGATTCATTCACCTCATTTGTTCTTTGTGTTATCTTCTGTTCAGTTGATCTATCAGTTAGTTGTCAATGTTTGCTTCTTTCGGGTGCTTTGCTGGCAGGCGCGGGTATTTGTGATTGTTGTATCTTCCTGGTTACTGGATACTTTTATGGTTGTATAATACCCTTGTCTCTCCATTTCCACCCATGAGTTGTATAGTTCATTTTCATCAATATCCAGTGTGCTCTATTGCTGCACTTAGAAACACAAAGTTCGGCTGGGAAGGTAGCTCAGTGATAGAGTGCTTTCCTTATATGCATGAGTCCCTGGGTTCAATTCCTTAGCACCAGATAAGCAGAAAAAGCCAGAAGTGGTGTTGTGGTAGAGTGCTCACCTTGAGCTGAAGAGCTGAGGGACAGCGCCTAGGCCCAGAGGTCAAATCCCATGACCGACCCCCCCCCCCAAAAAAAAAAAAGAAAGAAAGAAACACAAAGGTGTAATACCCTTCTATCATGCAACCTGTGTCTCAGACCTTAGCACAGTTTGAACGCTGCCTTGATTGGGTATTTGGTTAATGGTTGATTGCCATCCCAGTGTGTACCTACTGTGAGCACTTAGTGTGGGATCTGGCTTACAAAGGTAATAACTATTTCAATGAATAACTTAATGAAAATATAGTGTACTAATAATGATTGTGTTTGCTCTTGTTTTTCTATGAAATTTTCTCTCTCTAAAAACATTCATGTTTTGAAACCTAATTTTACAGGTACTTCTGTTGTGACTGTAGAGGCTTTTGTTTCTGATTCAATCCAGGACAGTATTGAATATTCAATATTTAGTGGAAATGAAGATGGAATATTTTCCCTGGGTTCCAAATCAGGTAATCCTTTTTGTCTTACAAGAACTTTATTTTGTGTTTCTAGTAATACATACTTCTATAATAGAAGGGTAGAAGTAAATAATTGCTAGGACAAATAATTTATAAGTAAAATCTTTCATAGTAGGTGATGAAAAGTTATGAGAAAACTGGAACTATGAATTTGAGTGTGTGTCCTCACTAAGAATTCTGTTCTGAATATTTCCATCCTGCTCCTTGATGTTTTGAAGATGGATTGATTCTTATTTATAACTTAACTCCTGACATCTGGGAAAACTAGATATGTAATTAGGGTGATCATTGCTATTGAATTTGATGTGGAAATGAGCACATATCCCAAGCCTTACAGAATTTTCTTCAGAGATTCTCTAATTTTCTCTGAAAATCAACAATACAGCAAAGACAGCTGAAAAAGTTTCCAAGTGGTAGTAAAAAATATTTCCAAACACAGAATGTATTAAAGTTAGTTTTAATAAAAACTGGCTGTGTCTTAGATGAGTACCAATTGATTGTTCCCAGGAACAGTTTTTTTTGGGTGTGTTGTGTGTGTGTGTGTAATAACTATATAGTACGTGTGTATTTACAGCTTCATCATCAAACTGAAGTAAGAGTGATTATAATAATTTCTGTGTTACTCTACCACTGTTTTATTTCATCTATACTACATGTACATGGGGAAGATGGAGAGGGATTGAGGTCTTAAGCAATGGGTTCTCTCCCAGGGCACGTAGCCCTTGGTAAGCAACTTTCTTTGGGTCCTGTTGTGGGGCCTGAACTCTGGGCCTGGGCGCTGTCCCTCAGCTCTTCAGCTCAAGACTAGTGCTCTACCACTTGAGCCACAGCGCCACTTCCAGCTTTTTCTGTTTATGTGGTGCTGAGGAATCGAACCCAGGGCCTCATGCATTGCAAGGCAAGCGCTCTATCACTGAGCCACCTTCCCAGCCCTTGGTAAGCAACTTTCTGAGGCAGCCTGTAGGAAGTCTTCATGTCTTCATCATGGTGGAGTGAAGGGATGGTGCTGGAAGCCTGTTGGCCTAAGAAAATTGTCGGACATCACGCCTTCTTTGTCGCAGGCCATCTGTGCCTACCCCATACCTTCTCAAAGACAGATAAGCGAGCAAACAAGACAAAAGGAAAAGAAACAGAAACAGCGAGAAACAAAAAACCTCTTGTCTTTGCAAACTGTTTTTCTCATATCACAGACTTTCTCTAGCATCATTGTCTTTGTATTGGGATTTATGATTTTGTCTCAAAGGTTCTGGAAATGAGCTGAGAATATTCTTAATTCTTTCAAATGATCATGATTAGTATTTTTAATAGCTGTTGCTTTCCTTTATTGTGATTTTAAGTGATATTTTAAACTTTTTTCTTCATGAATTTTTTATTTTTAATTTTTTGCTGGTCCTGGGGCTTGAACTCAGAGGCTGGGCTCCATTCCCTTAGCCTCTCTGTGCTCAAGGCAAGTGCTCTACCACTTGAGCCACAAGCCACTTCCAGCTTTTTCTGTTTATGTGGTACTGAGGAATCAAACTCAGGGCTTCATTCATGCTAGGCAAGCTCTCTGCCACTAATCCACTTTTCCAGCCTCATAGATTTTTTAATTCTTATTACAAAGGTGATGTACAGAAGGGTTATAGATACATTGGTCAGGTGTCACCCTTTCCCTCGCTCTCTCCCTGTTTTTCCTACCCATCTCCCCCCACAAGTTGTATAGTTCATTTTCAACATAGTGTCTAGTTAGTGCCACCCTTTGTACCACCATTTCTGTGCCTACCCTTACCTTCTCAAAGACAGATAAGCGAACAAACAAGACAAAGGAAAAGAAAACAAAAACAGCAACAAGCAAAAGAACCTCTTGTCTTTGCAAACTGTTTTTCTCTTATCACAGACTTTCTCTAGTATCATTTTCTTTGTATTGAAATATCCCTTCGGGATTTATGATTTTGTCTGAAAAATAGCTTTTATTATGTCTTTGTTTTAATATATGTATTTTTGCTGGTTTCATAATTCTAGATTCACAGTTAATTTCTCTTATCATAGTAAGATATTTTTCTGTCTTCTCCTGGCTTCTCGGAATGTTATTCACTTGTAGTCAAATAGTAGTACATAATCTTTTATTTCACTTTTTAAATTTCTTTGTCCTATTTCCAAAAGCTCTCTGATGTTTTTCAACTTTTCTTGATCTTAAAAAACAATTGTTGCTCCTTGATCTGAGGTTCTTTTTACTTATTTTTTGTCAGTTGGGGGTCTGGAAGCTGTACCTGAGCTTCTTTGTGCTCGAGGCTAGCACTCAACCATGAGCCACAGCACCATTTCTGGTTTTCTGGTGGTTAATTGGAGATGAGTCTCATGGACTTATCCTGCCTGGGCTGGCTTTGAACAGTGATCCTCAGATCTCAGCCTTCTGAATAGCTAGGATTACAGGTGTGAGCTACTGGTGCCAGGCTTCGGTTCTTTTTTAATGTATGTAAATGTATATCTGGGGATGTAGCTCACTGGTAAAGTACTTGCCTCAAATGGGTGAGTCCCTGGGTTGGCTGCCTAACCCTACAAAATATAAGGTGTGTGTGTGTTTATAATGCAAAGAGGATACATAATTCTGCGTGCAATAATTTCAGCATTGTGTTTAAATGCTGCTCCTGCAGTCTGTGGGTTTGCTTGCTATCATCCATTATGTAATATTTTGCTGGGATTTATATGCCTGTAAGCACAGAAGCTGTTCCTTTTCCTCTAGCTTTGCCAGAGCATCCTTTGAAGTCTAGATTGTACCTGTTAGAGAAGATTTTCTTTCCCTTCATAAATTCACCTGGAGACCTTAAGTGGAAACTACTTTAAATTTAACTCATAGGTGCTTTTAAAAAGTAGCGAACTAGGACAATATGGCTACTACAACTTTAAGCTTAAGCTAATGGATTCTCATAGGTAATTTTCTTCCTTCCTCTCAGTCAAGACCAAAGCTAAGAAAATCAAGTTTCTATGTATCCATTTTTAGTTGTTTGTTTTTTTTTTGGTTGGTGGTGGGGCTTGAACTATGGGCCTGGGTGCTGTCCCTCAGCTCTTCAGCTCAAGGCTAGCACCTCTACCACTTGAGCCACAGTGCCACTTCTGGTTTTCTAGTGGTTTATTGGAGATAAGAGTCTCACAGAGTTTCCTGCCTGGGCTGGCTTTGAACCTCGATCCTCAGATCTCAACCTCCTGAGTAGCTAGGATTACAGGCATGAGCCACCAGTGCCCGGTTGTTTTTCATTTTTCATAGTGATCAGTCACTTGGGATACACCACACACACACACACACACACACACACACACTTTTGGGTTTCAACTGTATGTTGTTTTTCTTCTATTAGCCCCTTAACCTTTTTTGGTTTTTATGGGTTTTATGGGTTTTTCTCACCTTGTCTTATATATTTTATGCAATGATCAGAGATGCAGCTCGAAGTAGAAGGTCCTGGGAGAAACCCTCACAACAAACATGGGACTTGGGGTTCCTGCTTTCCTCCTTGGATTCCTGTTTTGTTCTTTGGGACTTTCATGCAATGGTACCAACTCAATAATGAATTTTCATGCACACACATATACATGTATATGCATATGTAACATGTTTATATGTGCATATGTATCTCATCAAGCAATTCACTTGGTTTTTTTTTATCATGTATCAGTCAAGGACATGATTTGCCATATTGCTGTCAAGAAGGCTTTTTCAAAGCTTGAATTATGATATGAAAGGAATCTCTCCCGCTGTCTTTGGCACATTATCACTAAACTTGTGTCTAAAAGTAGCTCACGTAGGTTTTCTGGATGTGTGTATTTTAAATCATAAACTGATTAAAATAGAAAACCAGTATGCAGAATGCATTCGTAAAAATGATCTCTAAAGTTGTGGTCACTTTTCCTGGAGATAAACATGTAAGGAACCTCTCGGTTCCATAATTATAATCCAACGACTGACTTTTGTATTTAAACTTCATGCCACTTTGGATTAAAAACATTTATTACTGTCTAAACCAGCATAATTTTAGAATTTGACTGAGATTGTGAATGTAAATAACAGATGGTAGTGTTCAGTCCATTATTTGGTAGATTGACATAAAACAAAGATGGTCAAACTTCACTGTTTCAAAGAGAGTTTCATAGCAGGAGAGAGTTTAAAAGCTATTGGATAACATAAATATTTGTCACATTCTGCTTTAGATTCACTGGTGCGGATGAAGGCCCACAGTGTGCAACTGATTGGAGTAACCTGATTATATTATCAAGAATGTAGCATTTGAAGAATCTTAATCTCATTTTACATGTATTAGAAGGAAAATATTATTTTCTAATAAGTTGGAATGTTGAAAGTGGTATTAATGAGGCTTCCTGCTGTAGAAAACACACAGACATTTCAGCCCATGAATGCTATTAGGCTGATTACAGTAGAACACTCATTTCCCTCAAATCCATATCTTTAATGTCTCTGAGAAAAAAAATGCACACGTATCACCCAAGGTGACCCACGGACTCAGTAGGTGTGCTAGCCCTGAAATATTGGCTATTGTCTTCTCCATTTGTACAGATTTCACAGCAAGTTCCAGTTATTATGCTAAAAATAAACTCCAAGCACAGAAAGCATTAGACTTGTAGATCCATTCCAAGTGTAAAATTCCAATTATCAAAGCTCCAGCACAAGCCTTTTATTTTAAAAACCACTTTGATCTGTACCATAATTGGCACACTTTCTACCAGATGACTCTTGAAATTTACTGTTAAATTTCCATTTCATTGGTCCTTTATAAGGAGACTATGGTAGCAGAGTGTTTTGCTTGCTAGAGAGGGCTCTAGTGCTGAGGGCTGTGGGTTCACTTCAGACCTGGGTTTGGGGTGCAGCAGTCAGCCCTTATGCACAGACATTTCACAAGACCAGTTACTTTCATCACTAACCGCAAAAATAGGTCAAAATGATTTTGTAGCTGCCAAAAACTAGGGCTGTTCTGTCAGGGGTCTTGGTCACAACCAATTGTAGTTTGTAAAAGTAACTTTGTCCTGCTGGGTGCAGTGGTTCACTCCTGTAATCCTTGTTACTTGGAAGGCACAAATTGGGATGCCATCCTGGGGAAAAAGTTAGCAAAAAAACCCCCACCCATTTCATCACACAAAACAGGCATGATGACATGTCCCTGTCATCCTTGCTGCTTGGAAGGCATAGATAGGAGGGGCGCACTCTGAGGCTAGCCCTGGAGGAAAATATGAAAACTTACCTGAAAAATAATTAAAGCAGAAAAGGACAGGAGGTGTGGCTCAAGTGGTAGAGTACCTACCTGGCAAGTACAAGGCCCTGAGTTGAAATCCCTAGTACTATCTAAACAAACGAATAAACTCAGTCCAACTCAGTCCTAGCACTAACTTGATACCAAAATGTGGTGTCAAAAAAAATGATAGGGAGCTGAAATGTGGTAGTTCTGAGAGTTCTTAATATAGAAGTCTTTAATCATTCTGAGTAATGGAATGCAAACTGTAAAACCTCCCTGCACACACTCAAGGCCAGAGATACATTACTGTAACAAGACACTCATTTCACCAGAACTTAAGGAACTGCTAGGTATCTGGAAGGTTTTTCTGGATTAGCTTGGGTATCTGGAAACAGGCATGGCTTCCAGGCACAGGTCTTTTTATGAGAGATTACACTTCTAAAATTCCATGTATATTAGATTTTCTCTTTCTAAATCTAGAGTTCACAAAGACAGTAAAGCTAGATGAGATGGCTTAGGGACTGACAGACATGGCTGCATATGCTGAAATCTATTTGCGACTGAAGGAGCCTTTCCAGACTCCATTACGTAGCTTTCCCTTCACCGTCCCCCAGTGAAGTCATGACTAACACCTCCCTACCCCACTTTAGAAAGAAGAGCCTTAGCTTTGTAGGACCTGGATAACTTCCCTCCAGGTCACAAAAATTAATAGGCGATAGAGTCTGGCAATTCGTCTAAATTACATAACCAGCATGGCGAGGTGGAGGTGGGGCTGGGGTGGGATGGGAAAGAGTTCTATTCTTGGTTTCAGGTGTCAGTAACTCCACATCAGTGCTCACTTGGAAATCTCTATTTGATGAAATTTCTGACAGTGAAAACCAAGTGAATCGTAATAGTGAATTGGATCAGAAGCCTTGTTTTAGAAAGGACAGAAGAAAGCAGAGCAGAAATTAGAGAAGGCCGTGATTTGAAAGGAATTCCTTCATTTGGGAGAGAAACTTGAGCCCAAGGCCTCATTCTCCAAAGTCTGTTTCCTAACCTGGCTGTGTGTGATGGGAGGCTATGTAGAAGGGTGGTACGTGGTGGCCTTGTGCAGGCAAGCCCCTGCACTGAGCGCTGGAGAGACGATGTTGGGTCAGAGTCAAGTATGGTCTCTGACTCACCTTGAGGAGCTCATACATCAAAGGAGCAACAAGACTGCACCAGGTAGACAGCACGATTGCATGGTTGCCTGCAATGCAGCTGCTCTGAGAGTCTGCTGGGGGCTGACACAATGAAGGTAAAAGTCCAGGAGAGTCCTTGAGAAAGGCTAGAGATGGCAGAGGTCGGGGGGAGGGTGCATCTTTTCAGGTTGCTGGGGGCACACGCCTGGCAGCTCCAAAGTGAGCAAACAGCAAGAGATGTGTATGTGCAATGGCTGCCGCAGAGATGGCAATGTGGAGCAAAATTATGAATGATACCCCTGAGGGTGGAGAACGGAATGGATCCAGGAAGCTGAAGCTGCTCAACTGGATCACAGTGGCCAGGAAAGCCAGTGAACGGGCGTTGCATGCAGGATGATGATGGCATCCTTTGTGATCTAGTTCACAGTGGAAACAGGTTTGGTGAAGAGAGAAGATAATTCAGGAGACCAAGAGTGAAAGGTCAGGGGCACAGCTGTGGGGGACAGAGGAGGCTCAGATATGACAGAGGTGGCTCACACAGGACGAGGGCTCCCATGGAGAGGAGGGCCATTTAAGAGGCTGCTCTCAGACATTCAGAATCTCTCCTTCTGTATCTATTTGAACTTTGCAAATATCTGTAAGTTGCCAGCTTTTATTTTTACTGATCCCAGTCAGTGGGCAAAGGAGGCCCCAAGGGTGGTCTTTGGAGAGACAAGGAGCGTGTGAATGCATGAGTCAATGGTGCGATAGAATACAAGTAACATCATGTTTTTTTCTTTCCTCTCTCTCTCTCTCTTTTTTTCTCCCTGGAAATAAATACAGGACATCTCACTGTGAAAAAACCCAGATCCCTTGATTTTGAAATCAGGAGTGAAGTACAACTCATTATTTTAGCTGAAAGCAGTGGGCAGATAGCCTACAGCAAAGTAGTCATCTTAATACAGGACGTGAATGATCATTTTCCACGATTCGGGCAAAGAGTTTACCAGGCATCAGTGTCTGAAGGACAGCCCTACAATACTTACGTCATACAGGTAACAGAAATGCATGTGTGGGGGGGTGAATATGAGTGTGTGTGTGTGTGTGTGTATGTAATAGAATCATCATGCAACATGTATCAAAATATCTAAGGCTTATATCATAAAATAAAATTTCAGTATTTGTAGGATATATACATTATTTAATAGATTGGATAAAGTCTTTTTTAAATTCTATTTTTAAATTCTATTTTATTGAAGTATTAACAAATCAGTTTATAAGTACAATATATCCTAATCAATGTCACCTTTTTCATCATTCTTCCCATCCACTCCAGTCCAACCCTTTCTCTTAATTTTCTTAGTTTCATAGGGTATACATCAAGTATTATGACTGTATTCTCCTCCCTGTCTCTCCCTATTTGTCTCTCCTTATTTTCTCTCTCTTATTTGGTGCTGAGGGCCATCCTTGTTTGGTGGTTTCTCTGTCTGCATTTAGACTAGGGTCCTTTCCCATTCCCTTTGCCATTAAAGTGAGTCTCATGAAGCTGGGCACCAGAAGCTCTCTAAGTCCTCTTGAGCCTGTGTAAAGTCAGCACCACCTTTCAGATAGACTTAGCTTGGAGTGGGCCATTGCCTTTGTCTCTAGAATGCTGGTTTGTGATCACACCTATTCATACATCTTAAGTTTTCTGTCTATGCTAGGGGGCGTACATGTATCCAGGGCCTGCTAGTCGATTTGTGGACTAGGCCAACTGCCCTCTTACTTCTTACTATCTTCACCTGAGCACAGAGAAAGACACCATTTTACGTCTAGTCCAGGTCCTGATACACATGATTTTCTGTGCTGGTGAGGATTGGTAGAAGCTCAGCTGTCTTATAGGTTTAGCTCTGTGTCCCCCATCCTCTTCTACCTCATACACAGACTAGGACATCTGGGATCTTCCCAGCTGCTCTTTCTGAATTGTTTTGTCTTATAGCAGCCTGGTTGCTCCACTCAACAGCCTGTCCCCTATAGTGCTAGACCTTGACTCTGGTTTCAACCAACATGGAGATAACCCTGCAGGTGAAGACACCGTTTTCAGTCTTTATGATCCCTGCCCAGTGTGGGGCTGTTTGCTAGGGATGGCAGATACCTCTGGTGGCCCTCTGCTACAAGCTGATTCCTGTCCCGGGCCTTTGGCATGGTATTTCTCTGTCTTACATGCTAGCCAGAGTAAGGTCAGCCTCTCAGAGTGAAATAAATCCAACGAGTACACATTCAGTGTGGCATATGGGAGAGCCTCATCTCCTTATGGTAGACTTGTAGAGGCTAAGTCAGGGACATAACAGTGAATGAACTGAAAACGGACAAGTATAAAATATGAATCTTAAAATAGGATGAGCTACTCTTTTTATGGGTTACTTAGTTCATAGACAGCTAGCTCTCATGTTCTTTCCGATTCAGAAGAGAAATGCAGAAAGCCCTAATGTAGAAGGTTCTGGTTCCTGTAGTGGTTACTTCTTGTATTTTTTTTTTCCCACTGCACTCCTTTGGATTACAACCCTATAAACTCTCTTTAAGGGATCATCCTTCTCTGTGGTCCCACTTCCACCCTGTCCCCCCTTGAAGGTGTCGTGAAGCACTTTTGCCTTAGGCAGAAGTTCTCCTTGGCACTTGAGTCTCAGATGGTGAGACGTGAAGACAGAGGGCGAGCAGAGCTGACTCATCTCTGTGGTAATGACTTGGAAGTCGGTGGCGGACCCTCCCGTCCTCCCAGCCAATCACTGCTCGTCTTCCTTGAGGTGGCCTTGTTTTGATTCATTTCTCTCTTGGTGAAGTTGGCCTCGTGGACACATTGGCAGGCACACTAAAGCACTCACTGACTCACTGCCCTGAGATACTCCCCTGTAACGCTTTTCAGTACTCAGCCCCAGGAGACATGACAGGCTTTATGTGTCTCCAGGTGGAGGCCAGGTTCTCCTCCAGGTGATACCTTTCTGTACCAAATAACTGCTTGTGTGCTCACTTGATGAGGCCCTGGGCACTCCATATGGCCTCCAGGTCCCCAGAGGACCCACAAAGCAGTGTGAGGAGTGGATTGAGAGGGAAGGGGTTAGAAGCAAAACTCCATTAGGACATCAGTGTAATAGTGCAGACCTGGGTGGAGATGACAATGTGCACAGGTAAGGCTGAGGGGCTCAGAAAAGGTGCAGCTGTGAAGGAAACCAGTAAGTGTGCATCAGGTCCAGTTTTAGTGTAAGGCATTGCTCTTTAAATGGTCATATATTGAATTATGCACAGGAATGGGTTTCATCATCAAATTTCCATACATGCAAATAATGCACTTGGAAATTTGGGTCTTAAACAAAATTGCAGAAGCAGAGTTACAGAAGCTAAAAGAGCTGTTTAGTCAGTATACAAGTCCTGTCTAGGGGCAGAGATAGAATATTTTTGGTGGGGGTTACAGTTCGGTTTTACAGTGACAAAAGCACAGTTACATTTATATTCCAAAATCATACATTATTGATAAGCAGGGGCTTCTAATTCCTATGTAACCTAAATCAAATATTATTTTTCATCCTTAATTTCCCTACTACAACAACTGTATGTTTCCTGTTGTCATTATTTCCATTTCTGCTCCAAGCATGAACCCATATTCAGCACTGGAAGTCATCTATTCAAGCACGTTTGATTTCTTTCCATTATTTTTGCCTATTTCATAAAATGGTAGCTCAAAAGTATCTGAAAGTTACTTGGAAATCCTTCAGATGAATGTGCAGGACTTTTCTCCCCCATTGTCCACTGTCCACTTTATTATAGAGTTAAATATAAGCTGTACATTGGTATATTTTGTGTGTGTGTGTGTGTGTGTGCACGCGCGCGTGTGCATGCTGTGCCCATCCTGGGGATGGGCCTGGCAGGACCTGGGTACTGTCTCTGAGCTTTTTGCTCAAGGCTAGCTCTACCACTTGAGCCTCAGCTCTACTTTTTGCTTTTTGGTGGTTCATTAGAAGTAAGAATTTCATGGATTTTCCTACCTAGGCTGACTTTGAACTGTGATCTTCAGATCTCAGCCTCCTGAGTGGTTGGGATTACAGGTGTGAGCCACTGGCACCAGGCTTGCTAGTATATTTTCATCACTGTTTAGAACACACCTTTGACAATCTGTAATTCTTTCATAATGCATTTCTCTGCAAAGCAGGCTTAGTCATACATATTGAGGATGAAACCTTTCCTAATGGAAGAGTTGTTTTCTCACAGGTGTTTGCTACTGACCCGGACAGTGGGTTGAACGGCCTGGTTGATTATTCCTTTCTCTCTGGCAATGAAGAAGAAACCTTCCACATTGATGCCACAAGCGGTGTGATAACCACGAAGGCAGATCTGGATTATGAGTCCACCAGCTCCTACAGGTGTGTTCAGGACTGACATCCATGGGGTTATCTATTCACCTCTCAGTTAGGGGCTCAACTTCCTGTTGTGTAGACAACTGAGTTGTCAGCTGTGCTTTCCCTTTTGTTTATTTTCTGCTGTCCTGGGGCCTGGGTGTTGTCCCTGAGCCTTTGTTCTCCAGGCTCTCAAGCCGCAGTTCCACTTCTGGCTTTTTGGTGGTTAATTGGGGATAAGAGTCTCACAGACTTTCCTGCCCTAGGCTGGTTTCAAATTGTGATCCTCAGATCTTAGTAGCTAGGATTACAGGCGTGTGCTACCAGGGCCCATTTATTTTTGGTAATACTCAGGTTTGAACTCAAGGCCTCATACTTGCTAGACAGGCATTCTTACCACCGACACTTGCTTCCAGCTCTAATTTTTGCTTGTCAATTTTGAGTTAGGTTCTCACTTTTTACCTATGTTAGACTTCTGGGCAGCTAGGATATCAAGTATGGGCTTACTGTGTCTAGTTCTTCCTTGAGAAGGAATCTGGAAAATCTGCTGGGGTTGGCTTCAGGTCATGATTCCAACTCTCTCAGCCTCTCAAATAGAGTTCTAGGTAGGAGCCACTCTGCTTGATCATTCTTTTGGGCATGTTTAGTCTTAAAAATTGTTTGTTATTAAAAAAAATGATTGGACTAGTCATAACACGTTACGCATTTGTGAAGCATGAACACTCAGTGAAGGTCATTACAAAGACCATGTTTGTGAAATGCCTTCTGAACAGTAGCTACTACAAATGCCTGCTGTCATTGCTTTCACCAAAAATGGTGCTCTACCACTTGAGCCACACCTCCATTCCTCATTTTTTTGCCTTATTTTTCAACTATGATCTCATGAGTTTTGTCTACGGTCATCCTTCTACCTCTGTCTCCTGAATAGATGGAATTATAGCAGTGTGTGACTTCATGCTCAGATCTCTACAATGTAAAAGGAATTGCTTGCTTCTAGGATTTTCCATTTCCCACGCTCAGTTTTGGGTGGTTGTGGGTAACTGAAACTGCGAGACAAACATCACTGGAGTGAGGGCACTGTATTTCATTGCATCTTCTAGTCCGTCAAGAACTAGGTGAGCAATGTTCTTACAGCCCGAGGACGGAACAGACCTACAGACCTACAGTGGCTTGGTTAGGTCTTGCTACTATCTTAGATCAAATTTTGACTTACCCCCGGAAATTCTGAGCCAGAGTCACATTATTTCCACCATATAAGCTTCAGAGAGGATCTCCTATTTAAGAAAAAACAGATATTCTCAAATCCAGGTCAGTGTTGTCTTGTGACTTGCTTGCTTTCATGTTTTATGAAGAGTGTACAATACATTCATGTGGTTAAACAATGAGAACTGGTTAAAACAAAATATGTTTGGCATATTTAACCTCTAAGAAAACATTCCGATCAAAAGTTTAATTAAATGGCTTTTTTCATTTATTTGCTTAATATGCTTTTAAATAGTAATTCAAAAGTATTTTTAAAGCTTATGACTCTACCATTAACTATTTGGAATTTTTTGAGTAATGTTTTAATGTAATTAATTTTTCTTGTTTAAAAATACATTAAAACCTATTCCTGCATTGTCGCTACAGTAATTTTAAGCATGAGGAGTTTTTCCTCCCTGGAGTAATGCAGGTAACTCTCAGCCCAAGTGCTATTTGAGTGATCATAAGAAGAGATTATTGGAAGTCTGCTTTATGTTCCGTGAACTAAGCATTTTCCAGTTGTAATGACTTCTGTTAAGTGTTCTTACTCAATGGAGCCTAATTGATAATTAAGTCTAACTTTCAACTGTTTCCCATTTGCGTCATAGTTTCTATGTTCTCAACATTTAAATTGGTCCCACTATTTTTAAGAAAAAAAACACGCCTTTGCCCCTAATTCCTTATGAAGAATTTTACTCAAAATTGGGAGAAACAAGAACCAAAAGGAGTTGACTCCCCTCCCCCACACAGGTGTCTGTGTGAGGGTATCATATCTCCTCCTCTTCCCCCTTCCTCTTTTCCCCTTCCCTCCCTCCTTCCCTCAGTCCTTTCCTCCTTCCCTTCTTTCTTTTTTCCCCTCTACCTCCTCCCCCTACCTCTTCACCAAGACAAGGAGATAACTGAATAAAGGAGAGTGTGTCAGTTATGATTCCACTAAATATAAATGTATCAGTTGTTAGTTTTCATAAAAGAGCACAGTTAAGAAAACTCAGTGGAAAGATTATTAAAAATTGTAAGTTATGAAAATTATCTATGGCAGTATAGATTCAACAGTGAAGGTACAAACAGTGAAGGTATGGAAGTGCTTTTGATTGAGTCTCCTTTGGCACCTCCTCCCCTTTTTCCTCTGGATGCACCCTGATGATACCATGGTCCCCCCATTGAGCTCTGTTTAAATAAATATTGTCCTTTCATGTAAATTATTCTGGATGTAGATTGAGTTTATTCAATGTGACACACAAAGTATTAATGCATGGTGAATCCAAATTGTATATGTTAAATTTACATACGTTGTCAAGACATACCACAGGTTTAAAAACCTGGTCTGGCGTGGTCCCACCAGGCCTGCAAGTTGAATACATTGAACTAGGGCATGAAAAAGAAAAGAAAAAATTATAAAATACTAAAGAAAAAACTCTCTGGTAGATGGTTATAAATTTCTGAAAACTATTTACCAAGCAAGAGTCTTGGGTTGCAAAGTCTTTGATAGTTGGGATAGTAGAAGCATGCCACCTCATCCAGGTTCTAGTTGATTAAGCTAGGGTCTCAAGATCTTTATACTTAGTCTTTTCTCAGCCTCCCCTGTTTCTAGGACTATAAGTGTGAGCCATTGTGCCAGCTTCTTTTATAAGAGAATAAAAGGCATTGTTCTTTTTATTTTCTAAAACCCATGGTTTTGGTTGAGAAGTTTTACAGAGTTCTAATTACTTTTTATGATGATTTCCACCCTCCCCCTTTTCTCTTTGGAAGTTTTTAAGTGACTCTTTTTATACATCATATTTAGAAATCTTGTTATATATACCTTGAGTCTCCATATGCTGAATACTCAGGTCTGCTTAATAAGGAGACTTCTAATTTCATTGATGATTTCCTGTTTTTCTGTTTTGTTTCTTGTTTTTTTTTTTGTCCTGTATTTTTTCCATGTTTCTTTTTCCTAAGGCCTTATTCAATAGGTGTCAATCTTATTTGCAATGTTGGATTGTCATGAAAAATCCTTGGTTAGTTATATTTTATTTTCAGCTTCCCATTTCTTGTTTGTTGGATTATTTTTATTGTTGTACTTCTCGGAGCTATTTCTTTAATTTTAATCTTATAAACTTTATTTTTGTGTTCCAATTAAATTTGGAAGAATATCATACTTACATATTAATATGTTGCATATTATACATATGAGGTATATATACACGTTTGCATACTTTGAAACAGATCTTCCATGTTCTTTGATATCTTTCACAGTACCTGTTCTTATTTTATGTCTGCATTAGCTTCTCATGACTGTCCAAGGACACTGGTTAGAAATGTTAAATTTCCTTTAGTTCCCTTCATTCTTTTCCCTCGTTGTCTATTCTGAGCTCTCTTATTTGTTCTGGAGGCTTTCTGTAGGTGACTGATGACCCTTGAATATGAGTGAAGAGATAGAAAGTCACTAGAATCTCTGTGACTAGAGGACTCTGGTTCACACTCTTCTCTTTCAGAGCAAGCAGCAGGGGCACTGCTGACTTTTTGGGTGACATGTGGATGACAGCATATAGAGAATCTTTGAGAGGGAACCTCATTTCTCCTCCACTATCGCTGCATAGACACTACATCATCACCCACATCCCAAGTTACATTAGGGTCCACTTTTGGTGTTGCATCTACAGTAACCAAATTTTCTCCAACCCCTGCATCTTAATCTCTTGCATCTTCCAAAAATCTTAATACTACTTATCCGTCTCACTCACCAATCTTACCTTCCGTTTCTCTCTGGACTTGTGAACATTATTTCAAATGTCCTCTCCATCATGTGAGTGGATTCTTGGGAGAAAGCGCAGATAAATTTAAGGAGTCAGCTTACTGTTTTTCACCAGGAATCCCCATTCTTTTTTTTTCCTCTGGTAGTATTTATTATCATTTTCATTCCAGGCATCACTCACTTGTAACACAGAATTGTTTTTCATGCTCACTTTTAATAAAAATGTAATGTGGGGAAAAGTCTTTCCCCCATTCTTTTTATAGGATTACTTTTCTTAGAATTTCAGAAGGAACAGAAAATTTCTTGGTAGAAATTAAAGATATAGGAGAGAAAGTCATTGAAAAAACTCCCCTGTCAACAATTTCAGTATGTTAAAGCCATCAAGCTAGACCTTGTCTGGTCAAAGGCCTCATTTGTAAACTTAACACAGTGGAAGAAACTTCCCATGGTTGGGCAAACAGGAACAATATGTTTTGTACTGCATCTGGCCGATTTCACTGACAGTCTTCGCTGATTGCACTAATCAGGACAACAGTTCTGAGGGACAAAGCCAATTGGATGGGTTGCGACCAATGGTTTCACTCCCAGTGCCAAGGAGCCATCAGAGATGAACTTGAGGTCTCCCAGACCATCTCTCTGGCAGAATCTCTGCAGTTCAACTTCCATCATTTCTCATTTGTTCTTCATGCTGTTGGGAAAGCTGCTCCTTGCCGTTTCGTTTTGAAACTGGAAAACATATCTCTCTCCCTATAAAAAAAAATCTCATATTTCCCCCATCTGATGATGGTAACATTATAAATATAAAGGTGACGGTATCTACAGTAAAAGAGGCTGATGGGACTTTGACTTTGATGTCTTGGCTTAGACTTTAGGTAACAAGAAGGTGTAGACTGCAGAGGGAGAAAGTATTACGAGCTGATTATTTTCAGTAAAGTCTTTCCATATGCTCCGGACCGATGGTCATGCTCACAAAATCACCTCTCCACATGGAGTCATTCCTCAACTCCAGACATAACTGTGACTTCCAAATTCTTATTCTACTGAGATCCCGGCGATACTAGTGTCTCAGGCACCAACTCTGGGCCTCGTGGGTGGCAGGTACACCGTGATCATGTCCCTTAAGTGGAGTTCCACCCACAAAAGAACCGACGCTTATGTTACATCGTTATTTTCTAATGTTTAGGATTGGAAAAAGAAACTTAAAGGATGCTAACAAGGGGAAAGAAATTGTGTCCAAATTCAAGACTGTTTCTTTAAAAAATAGTGTCTATAATTGGCTAAGATGAATATACTACACACCATCCTGCCCAGTTTTCTTTTTTTTAATTTAATTTTATTTTATTTGTGAACATACTGTACAGAGGGGTTACAATTGCATGGGCAGGATAATGCGTACATTTCTTACCAAGCATTGCATCCTCCTCCTTTGTTTACCCTTCACATCCCTTCCCAGCCTCCCCCCTCCCCCCAATCCCAATCCTTCTCCTTCCCCCTTCCCCCCCCCCGCACCCACGTTGTAAAGCTCGTTTTGGACATGACAACTTGTACTTCTCATTGTTGCAACAGGTCCACCTGTATCCTTAAACAACTGGTTTTTCCCCATCTCCTCCACAAGTTATACTGACACAAATATAGTGAAAGCAGAGGTTATACTGTGGGGGAGGGACATACAAAGCAACAAAGAGATAATCTTATAAATGCATTAGAAACACATGCATGAAAAAAACATTAAAATACATATCTAAGGGTTCATTTTCCTGACATCACATTATCTGACCTTTTCTGCTTGACTCATACATATACTAGATATTGCAAATAAGGGAAACCATGGGACCTATGTTTCTTTGGGCCTGGCTTACTTTACTTAATATAATTTTTTCCAAGTTTTTCCATTTCCTAACAAATGGGGCAATGTCATTCTTTCTGATGGAGGCATAGAATTCCATTGTGTATATATACCACATTTTCTTGATCCATTCATCTACTGAGGCTGCCCAGTTTTCTTTCTCTTGAGAGGAGGTCTCATGAACTTCCTTCCTTCGTTCCTTCCTTCGTTCCTTCCTTCTCCTTCCTTCCTTCCCCTCCCTCTCTCCCTCCCTCCCTCCATTCCTTCCTTCCTTCCTTCCTTCCTGTCTGTCTTTCCTTCATCCTTCCTTCCTTCCTCCCTCCCTCCCTTCCTTCTTTCCTTCCTTCCTTCCTGTCTGTCTGTCTGTCTTTCCTTCCTCCCTCCCTTCCTTCCTTCCTCTTTCTTTCTTTCTTTCCTTCCTTCCTTCTTTGTTTCTTTGTTTCTTTGTTTCTTTCTTTCTTTCTTTCTTTCTTTCTTTCTTTCTTTCTTTCTTTCTTTCTTTCGGAACCTCAATCCTCCTGATCTCAGTCTCCCTAGGAGCTAGGGTAAGCCAGTGTGGAATGCATTTTAAATGATGCCATTTAGAAGAAGCCAGGGGAGAAATAAAAGCAGCTAGGCAGCTCATTTTTAAATTTTTGACTGCCTATCTATGCTGGCCGGATTCCTGAAAGAACATAACATTCCCTGATTCTTTTTCAAACCAGCTTGATCGTGCAAGCCACGGATAGAGGGGTGCCCCAGCGTTCTGACACAGCTGTGATCAAGGTCCAGGTGACCGACAGAAATGACAATCCTCCCACTTTGCCCCCCTGGGACACAGTCGAAATTGCAGAAAGTAAGTGTGGGATGGTGTTTTGGCTTACACAGTACCTTTTTCATTTTATAGCCAGATGATATATTAACTATGAGTATTTGTTCTCAATGGTCATGCAAGCTAAGTACTTCTGCCTTCATTTTATAGAGTAATCGGTGGATTGTAGCAATGGCTACACTGCCGGGGTACAGCTTTATGGTTGGAATTGAAAGCAGTGGTGGCCCCTCATTTTGTCACCCTGTTTTGTTTTGTTTGTTTTTTGGTGGAGGGATGGCAGTGCTGGAGTGTGCACTCAGAACCTTGCACTTCAGAGGCAACTACTTTACCACTTGAGCTGTGCCTCCAGTCCATTTTGCTGTAGCCTTTTTTTTTTTTCAGATAAACTCTTGTGCTTTTTGCTTAGAGCCAGCCTCAGTCAGTTTATGTAGACATAAACCACCATGCCTGGCTTGTTTGTAAAGGTGGAGTCTCACTATGTATTTTTTTTTTTTGCCTGAGCTGGACCCTAATTTCAGTGCTTATGATCTCTGCCTCATTTTTTTAAATATCAAATTCTTTCCTAAAGTGCTCCTTACATTTGATTACATTTGTTTTACAAAAAGCCACCTCTCACCAAGGGTTGAAAATTTTCTATGCATAAGGATGTCTAAAAATAGTATATTCTACAATAAAAAAATCCTTCAGTTTTGCCTCTCACTTATATGATGTATTTTCATATGGTGGAAAGTATTACTTCTCCCTACAGACAGCGATGTTAAGATACAGTAATGCGCCCATAGTATAGGCATGAGCCAGAAGGAACTGAATGCAGAAGACATGGTGGGTGAGCATTAAGAATGCTCAAACTTAGCTGTCTGAGCTAAGCTAAGCTTAGTTCTGTCTGGTGGCTCACACCTCCAATTCTATCCACTCCTGAGGCTGAAACCTGAAGGATAGGGTTTGTAAGCCAGCTCAAGAAGAAAAATCTGCCCGATTCCATCTCTAGTTAGCTACAAAACGCTGTATTGGAGGTATAGATCAAATGGTATAGTACCACCCATGAACAAGAAAGACAAGCACGTATGAGCCCCGAGTTCAAACCCTGATATACAAAACAAACTTAAGCTTGAAAGCTGAGAATCTTGTCTCATATACAGTGGAGCCATCCTTTCCACTTGTACCACACCTGAAGCTTAGAAACAAAGCCACTTTCAGGAGAAGTTAGGCTGGAGAGCACGTGTATGTGAGATACTGACTGTGTAACCTAGAGGATGTTTCCTTGTTTGTTTTTGTTAGTACTGGAGTTTGAATTCAGGCCCTCACATTCAGTTCACTTAGTTTACTGAAGCAGGCCCTCTCTGCTTGTTCAACTAGTGCTCTACCACGTAAGCCATGTCCCCAGTCCAGTGTTCTGATGGTTATTTTAGAGATAGAGTCTCATGGACTTTTCTATGCCCAGGCTGTTCTCCAACATCAGTTCTTTAAGTCTGAGCCTTCTGAGTAACTAGGATTATAGGGGTGATCTACCAAAGCCAGAGTAATATTAGAGATTTGTTTTCATTTCTAACATGAGTTGTGTTTTGTCTTTCTGTAAGGTTCTTTCTTTGGTCTGTGTGTGTGTGTGTGTGTGTGTGTGTGTGTGTGTGTGTGTGTGTGTGTGTGTGTGTGTGTGTGTGTGTGTGTGCCTGTTTGTGAGTGCATGCATGTATGCCCACATGTGCTGGTCCTAGGGCTTGAACTCAGGGAGCATCTGGGATCTGTCTCTGAGCTTTTTAAAAAATTTTTTGCTCAAGGCTAGTGCTCTACCACTTGAGCTACAGCTCGATTTCTAGCTTTTTGATGATTAATTGGAGATTAGAGTACTTTCCTGCCTGGACAGGCTTTAATCATGATCTTCGAATCTCAGCTTCCCCAGTAGCTAAGAGGACAGGTGTGAACCTACCTGGCTCTTTCTGTAGTTTTAATAATTTTGAGATTCAGATTTAACAGCATCAAAGAATGTACACTCCCAGAGAAGGAATAACTGAAAATAAATATAAGGAAACATGTACTAATTCTAATATGTGTATCTAAACATTCTCATTCAAGTCTGGTCTGCCTTTCAGAATTTTATATTTTGAATAATATGTGAGAATATATGGTTTTGATGTAGAAATTATACCATAGAGCTAAGTGCCTAGAATGTTCCTTGATTGTGGAATTGTGTTATAAGTTTAGAATGAAAGAATGCAATATAAACATCGCCATCGATATCATACTCTGTGATAAATTTTCACTTTGTGATCCGGTTCATAAATTCTTCAGAGTTGTTGTTTAGTTCATAAAAAGTTTAGTATGAGAACTCATGCAAGAAAGAACGAACCATATTGAACTTAGAATGTGAAAATACTTGGATTGAACTATTCAAGGCACACTGTGGGCAGGATGAATTGTAACGGAGGCTGACCGTGGCCTTGATTGTTGCAGATTCCTTGCCTGGTGTCATTGTGTCTCGGGTATCAGCTCATGATGCAGATGCGAATCCAGCTTTCATCTTCAGTATCACCCAGGCGAGCAGTCCTGGAACCAAGTTTGCGATCGACCAGAACACGGGAGAAATGATGTTGGTTCAGCCACTGGACTTTGAAGACACTACGGAATATGAGCTGTTCATCCACGTTTCTGATTCAGTGCACCACACACAGGGATCTCTTGTCATCCGGGTGCTGGATGTCAATGACAACCCACCAGTGTTTTCTCAAGAGATCTACCAGGTACGAGGCTTCATGAGAGGCTGAAGCCACCGTGACTAACAAATGATGTCAGCCTCCCATCGCTCACCACATGTTAAGCAGACAGGAGTCAGCTTTTCCTCCTGAGTTACTGCTGCAGGTTTTAGATTCAATGTTTTGTGGAGGATGTGAGTACCTGTGGAATTCAGCATCTCGTTTGGCTCACTTGAGTAGGTCATCAGCTTAAATTTTTTAAAAGGAGATTGGAATCCAGTTGTTCCTCACTATTGAAACACAGCTAACATTTGCAAAGCCAGAGATAAGACAGAGGAGTTTGGGTTATCTGAAGTTAATTTGATAAAGTTCTTTCTTTCCTAGGCAGTGTTTATTTCACAGACTAACATCTTGTAGGACCAACTCTTGAGCAGATCTATAAAAGTCAGATATTAGGTCTTAGGGTGCAGTGTATGTTTATAGACGGAGAGGCAGTGATAACATTCCTTGAGGAAACTAAAGTACAGGACTCTTTTTTTATTATTTTATTTTATTTGTGAACATACTGTACAGAGGGGTTACAATTACATGGGCAGGATAATGCGAAGTACAGGACTCTTGACTGCACCAAAGCAAGTCATAAGACTAAACCCAGGAGAAAGCTGACTTCAGCAGTGACTTCCTGGGAGGCCTTGCATGACTTGCACAGCATATAGGCTTTGTAATACCTTAGCCACTGCACTAGCCTCTTCCAGGCAGAAATAGTTCAGAAGGGAAAAAATGTCATAATAAAAATTAAAACATCACCTCAAGAGTCTGAGATCTGAGGATTGTGGTTCAAAGCCAGCTGAGGCAGAAAAGTCTCTGGGAGACTCTTACCTCCAATTAATTACTTAAAACCTCGAAGTGGTGCTATGGCTCAAGTGGTAGAATGCTAGCCTTGAGCACACACAGGCTCAGGGACAGCACCCAAGCCCTGAGTTCAAGCTCCACAACCGACAAAAAAGATAAATAAAGCAGAATGAAATTATTTCTTTCTGAATCCAGGGACTATTACCATACTATTTTAATATGTCAGCTGTATACATTAATGTGTCTGATGGAAGTGCAGTTTCTATAATCAAAATGAATAGAAGAATCATATGGTCAGCTCTGTTTATGAGAATAGTTTCATCCTTATGCATCATGTCTCCTTTATTTCCCCCATCTCAGGTGACAGTTCCTGAATCTGTACCTCTGGGGCACTCAGTGTTATCTGTATCAGCCATAGATTTAGAAAGCAGTGAGAACATTTCTTACAGAATCCTTTCTTCTCCTCAGGAGTTTGCCATTGATCCTGTGAATGGTGAGTTACTTCTAGTGCCTTTGGGCCTCGTAGGTTTGGGTTGTAGGGTGGGAACATGAGCTAACCCCTTCTGAAAGCTCCTAAAATAATCTCCTGCCACAAACCCTGAACACCACCTGCTGATTGTCTTCACATCGAACACTATGGTACCAAATGCCACTGCTGTTTCTCCTCTCTGGCATCTCAGTGGAAGCAAAAGATACTTGTTTAACCAGCTACAGATCAAGCAGTTATCCCAGGATGAAAATAATAATGTTGGAAAGATTGATTATTAGAGTAAAGGAAGCTGGTTTTCTAAACTAAGTGGAAAAAATTCAATTATAGCATTATATGCTCAATACAGAAAATAATAGTAAAAAAGGGTAATAGAGAAGGCTAATGAAAAATGTAATAAAAAATGTAAAACCTGTAATCCTAGCTACTCAGAAGGCTGAGATATAAGGGTTGTGGTTCGAAGCCAGCCCAGATAGGAAAGTCTGTGAGACTCTTATCTCCAGTTAACCACCAAAAAGCTGGAAGTAGAGCTGTGGCTCCAGTGGTAGGAGGCTAGCCTTAAGCAACAAAGCTCAGGACAGTGCCAGGCCCTGAGTTCAAGCCCCAGGACCTGCACAGAAATAAAAGGATGAATTCAAGCATTCATCTCAGCCAAACAAAATGCACTGTGGTGTTTACTTTATTTGATGTCTTCCAAAGCTCTTTGCATCTTTATCCACAAACAAGACTTTTGTGGTTGTGAAATGTTCAGACAAAGTAATTGCAGACAAGAACAGTTTAGGAAAGTATGGGGAAAGTATAACAGTGAATGGACAAGAAAAGCTAAATCTGGTCAGGAAGAATAACCAAGAAAATCACTGCTTTTACAGGGAACACCTTAGAAAAGAGTAGGACCTGGGATACAGCACACTGTGTGTCCCCATCTCTCCCTAGCACTGCATCCACAAGGTAAAGCTGAGTTAAGAGTTAACTTTAGAACAACCTGAAAGAAGAGCATAGGCACAAATAGCAGAGTGAGGCCCGCCAAGCATGGTAAAGGGAGCTGTGGGTATACGGTATTGGCATCAATATTGTGGCTGGATAACTGATGTGTACAGACAAACACAGCAGGAATCTGGATGTCCGTCCTCTCCTGTACCTGTGTCTCTTGTTGATATCACCTCTCAGATGATATCAGGTGCTGGCATAGCCCGTTGCTGTGTACAACAACCATTGCAACGAGATGTTGACTGGAATGCTTTTTTTAAATCTGTATGTGTGCTGGTCCTGGGACTTGAACTCAGGGCCTGGACATTGTCTATGAACTTTTGTGCTCAAGGCTAACGACTCTATATCACTTGAGCAACCGCTACACATCTGGTTTTTTGGTGGCTTATTGGAGATAAGAGTCAGTTCTGGACTATCCTGAGTGGGCTGACTTTGAACTGAAATCCTCAGAGCTCAGCCTTCTGAGTAGCTAGGATTACAGGCATGGGCCACTAGGTCCCAGATTAGAATGCTTTTAAAACATGAATTGTTTCAAGTCAGTTTAGGTCCTGGCATGAATTGAAATCTGACATTTAAATGTCAACATTTAGTGTGCTTTTTAGGGACCATACTTAAAATACATTCATCTTAAAAATTATATACATATTTATAAAATTATATATTTCTATATTTAATAAAACAAAGTGTATTAAAGATTTTTTCCATTAAGAGAAAAATCCACTTATTGAACTATGAACTTTAAGAACAATTTCTCTGTAATCAAGCAATAGTTATTTCCACAGCAAATATCTTTTTTTTTTTTGTAGTACTGAGTATTGAACCCAATACTGAGTATTAAATTTTACCATTTAATTATCTCCAAGCCTTTAAAAAAATCCACAAACATTTATTATGAGATACTTCTTTTTTTTGAGCGGGGGTCCGGTCTTGGGGCCTGAACTCTGGGCCTGGGCGCTGTCCCTCAACTCTTCAGCTCAAGACTAGCGCTCTACCACTTGAGCCACAGCACCACTTCTGGCTTTTTTTCTTTTTGCTTATGTGGTGCTGAGGTATCAAACCCAGGACCTCATGCATGCAAGGCAAGCGCTGAGCTACCTTCCCAGCCCTCTGAGATACTTCTATATGGAAGTAGCTTAGCACATCTGATCATGAACCAGATCCATTCAAATATTTAGGAAGTATTTGCTGGCTAAATGAATGATGGACATTTAATTTCACACCATTAACACTCTCCATCTTGTTTCTCAGGTACCATATTTACTATCAATCCTGTCTTACTTCTGGAAACGACGTCAATAATTCGATTTCTTGTTGAAGCCAATGATGGTGGAATTCCTCCCCTGAAAGCTCTTACATTAGTGGAGGTAAAAATAGCAGATCTGAATGACCAGGCTCCTGAGTTTCCTGTAGAACTCTATAATCTTAGCTTGAGTGAAGACACTCCCATCGGAAGTACACTTATCACATTTTCAACTACTGACCGTGATTGGACACTTGACAACACACATGTTGAGTATGCCGTCATCAGTGGTCAATCACAAAACATCTTCCATGTGGAAACTCGTTTCCTTCCCTCAGAATACCCTTTTAAACAAGTTGGTTCTCTTGTGTTGCTTCGCAATCTAGATAGAGAAGCCAGTGACAGCCACCAGCTTGTCATTCTAGCATCCGACCATGGCTGTCCCCCATTGAGTTCCACATTGGTGGTATCCATTCAAGTGCTAGATGTCAATGACAGTCCCCCAGAATTCACCAGTCTGGAATACCACGCCCATGTCAAGGAAAGCACCCCTGCCGGAAGCCACATCACCATGATCTCAGCACATGACAGTGACATCGGTTCCCATGCAGAAATCGTCTATGACATCATTTCTGGAAATGAGAAGGGACATTTCCACCTAGAGGCAAAAACTGGAGTTTTTTATCTGGCTAGGCCTCTGGATTATGAAGAAATCATCAAATTCACTCTGACTGTCCGGGCCTCTGATGAAGAGAGGAAACAATTTGCTTTTGCGGTTGTGTTGATCCATGTCTTAGATGATAATGATCACATGCCTCAGTTTTTGTCCTCAAGCATGAATTGTGTTGTTCCAGAAAATCGGCCTGTGCCTTTCACCATATGCTCAGTAAATGCTGTGGATTTGGATTCCGGTCCTTATGGAGAAGTGACCTATTCTATTCTGTCACCCTGTTTTGTCACCCATGGAATTCCTCCTGCTCATGATCTCTTTGTCATTGACCCTTTCACAGGTGACATCCAAGCTAAGCAAATCCTTGACTACGAAAGCATTGATTCATACTGCCTTGTGGTTCAAGCGGAAGATAGAGGTGGCTTAACCTCCTCCTTAATGCTCTGGGTGGAGGTTGAAGGGGTAGATGAATACGAGCCCATTTTCACTCAAGATCAATACTTTTTCAGCCTTCCTGCAGAGATTGGAGGAAGACAGCTGATTGGCAGAGTGGAAGCCTTCGATGCCGACGCAGGCGCTGATGGGGTTGTTCTCTACTCCCTTGAAACTGCATCTCCTTTCTTCTCAGTGAACAAAACAAATGGTAATATTTATTGGGTGCGAGCCCCTCCCTTCCTAGACAGTCACAGGGGCAAAGAAGGTACCTTGGAAATGAAAATAATGGCTCATAGCCCCAAACCAGGCTCCAAGTTTACACTCTGCAGCGTGTTTGTGAATGGCTCTCTATCCTCAGAAGGAAACCTTGCAACAGTGTCTGCCCACAGCTTCTCCATCAGCCTCACAGTCTCCTCTTTGGTGTTTCTGTTCTTCTTCTGTGCTCTCATTTTCCTGATTTTAAGACATAAACAAAAAGAAGACACCCCACACAGTTCCAAGGAGAAGAAGACATCATCCAACCTGGAGCCCAACCTGAGGATGACGGGGGATGCTAGTATGTTCCAGGCCTTCCAGGAGGTGAAGGGGGGCGGGGATGAGGCAGGGGCTGGGGGCACCGTGCCCGAATGGTTGGGTTTAATAAGCATCCTGCAGAAGGACACCGTCCACTTGTATAGACACTCAAACTCCAGCGGTCACTGCTCGGTCGAAGGAGAAACAGCAGAAGACAAGGAAATCCAGCAGATTAATGAACATCCCTACAGAAAGGACTCAGATTCAGCTCTTAGTGAGCGGGGGTCCAGGGTACCAGACTCAGGAATCCCTAGGGATTCAGACCAGCTCTCCTGCCTGTCTGGGGAGACGGACGGAATGGCTGTTGCTGACGCAGTAGAATCCAGCCATACATTTGAGGGGGACGAAGGAGGCAAAGGCTTAGTGTATGTCCAGAATAATGAGTTACCCCAGGCGCTTCAGCAGAGAGACACAAGCCAGGAGGTCCGGGCTGATGGTAGGAACGAGTTCATTTCAGAGGCACAGGAAGTGAAACGTGCCACCTTTTTACCTCAGATCACATGTGATCACGATGTCAGAGGCAGCTCCTGGAACTCCCTGCTCAGGTGGGAACCCAGGTTCCAGCCTCTTGCTTCAGTGTTTAATGATCTTGCAAAACTAAAGGATGAAAATGTACCTACACCAGGCATCCTGAAAAACAGGAAGTCTTCTGTTTGTCTACCTCCTTTGATCACAGCAGTAGCCCAGCCTGGCATTAAAGCAGTTCCACCAAGAATGCCAGCCATAGCCCCAGCACAGGTACTTCACGAATACCCCCGCTCTCCTATTCTCTACCATGGCAGTTCTCCGCCAGAAGCGATGACCCCTAGCTTTTCTCCATCTCTTTCACTCTTAACCATTCAGGCTTCTGCCACATTGCCAGCATTATTAGGAACACACCGCGGTGGTACGGGCCATGAATTGGAAGCAGGAGATGAAGTTCAAATATAAAACAATATGGCACCAACTCTCTTCTCACCATCAATCACGAACAGCTCAACAAAATATTCTCAAACAAGCCCTCGGGGACTGGGATCATTCTTATCTAAAAAAAAAAAAAAAATCCCGGTATTTCAGACAGGATTTTTAAAACCTCTCTAGTGAAGTTTCTCCAATTTCTTTTAGCTTTAGTATGAAGTTATTTCTTCTTTGAGTCTTTTATGGTTTGCTCTCAGGACTCGGCCAACTTGGATGGATCAGCATATAGTCTGTCCTGCCTGGTTTTGGGAAGGGTTAGATTTCCACATGAATTCCCATGAATATTACCAACTGCCAAAAATGTTTCTATGGAAATGAAGTACAGTGTATACTGATCACATTGCTGATTACATGCCAATCATGACAGAATGAGGAATGAGGTCAAAATAACAGTGGTAATCAGGAGAAATACACTTACGCTTTGAGACAGGTGGTAGTCTGTAGTTCTGATACATTCAAAGATGCATTTCTTTCCCTTTTCCCATATACCACCTTCTATCCACAATTTGAATTCTAAACTGGTGTCTTTTGGAAAACCAATGAGAAGTTAAGAATGAAACTTGTTGTGAAACTCTATGCCACTGGGGTGAAACGTGTATGCGTTGCTGAGTAAATGATCCAGAATTGCAGCCTGTGGCAGAAAGCGAGCATCAATGAATAGCAGTACTCATGTCACCTAAGATACATTGTCCTGATCTTCTCTGCCAATCTGGTTGGCGCTGTCCCTAAGCTTTTGCACCCAAGGCTGGTGGAGCTACAGCGCCACTCTGGTTTTCTTGTGGTTAATTGGAGATAAGAGTCTCATAGATTTTCCTGCCTGGGCTGGCTTTGAACTGTGATCCTCAGATCTTAGCCTCCTGAGTAGCTACGATTTACAGGCATAAGCCACCAGTGCCCAGCTTCAATACTCTCTCTCTTAACAGAGTACAGGTACAGACCGAAACTTCCAAGATTAATTTAAAGAATTTTCTTCTTTTATTTTCTTTTAGATATAGTAACTTTGGGTGTAAAATAATTGATCTACTCAGTGTCCATTTTTAACATTTGTGTAGATAAAATTATGTTATTAGCGAATTATAAATTGCATAGTCATTTAGTGATATATTTTTAAATGGATTTTTTATATAAAGTTTTTACTACAAAAGTTAAGAAAGAATGTCAAAATTTTTTGTATTCCCCCACCCGTTGCTTTTACTTACATTGAACTTCCTTGGGCAGAAGTTTGCCAACATGGTGGGAATAATCTGCTTCATAGAGCTCCTGTTTCAGAAGTAGAATGATGTTGTCTGATGCTTACATGTAATGTTACGTCCTCTCAGATCAGCCTGAGAGTCCATCAGAAATGCTTTGCCCTGTCAGGATGGCAGACTACTCGGGTGACCATGGTCCAGCTTCTGTCCTCCCTCAAAGGACCCATGGCCAGGATATAGAACAGTTGAGTTATTCTAGTGTGAAATCTCAAAGGCATCTGTAAAAGTTTTCTTTGTAGATGAGGTGAGCTTTCACTATAGTAATAATTTATCTTTATCTATGTGCCTCATCTTTGAAATTATGTGAGATCATTCACTTCTTTTTATTGAAAAGCATTTCAGGTACAGTGTTTTATATCTAATTTTGTAGATAAGTGATGGTATGGCTTTCTATGCTGATATTATATACTACTATATATCTTTGTTGACTCAAATTGAGAACATGATTATGTATCAAACCACATGAGCATATATAGCTATGAAACATAAAGTCTCGGACAAGCCTACTGTGTTAGAAAAAGTCATTTAAGTATCTCAGCGCTCGTATACATCTCTTCTTCATGGCGCCTGGGGAAGAAATTTCAGGACTGCTGGAAAAACACACCTCACTGTTTCAGCATTCTGATATTTATTGTCACCTCAATTCTCTTCTTAAGATTGTATGGAGCCAAGGATAATTCTGTATTGTTTTTCTAATGATGCATGGGCGTTTCATTTTGCAACAGCATTTCTGGAAATGAAGAATATTGTGTTGTTTTTAAGTAGCCAGGTTCTTCATGTACTTACGCTTAAAACAAGAGTCATCCATCTAAGTCATTTGAGTGTGACTTATTACTAAACATGGCTCTGTATTTTTCCCCTCACGATTTCATAAAAACACACGATATGAAATATTTAGAGCTGCTTACCAACATTGAGTGCATCTTTAATTGATGACTGTATTAATACTGGAATCCTGTGCCACTCCCCCTTCTCCAAAACTACCACAAGTAGGATTGAGGATGAAAAATGCGAACATGTTAAGTGTTCATAATAAATCATGTGTCAGCCCTTTCAACTAGAGTGCTTTTTCCCTAAGTAAACAATATAATTTCCTTCCAGTTCAATATTCATTTGCCTCATACGGTCTATGTTACTCTACTGATCTCTCCACCAGCGTTAGCATTCAGGAGGGGGTTTTAGAACTTGTTAGTGGAAAATCATATTAAGTCCCAAATTCATAAGCTATAAAATAAAAGACAGTTGTCTCTTGTGGAACATTTGGCTGCCTGAAATTCTGGACTTTCTTGTTGGCAGCCTTAAAAATACTGGTGTAAATCAGTACCAAATGGATATCAAAATTCCATATCCTAGGAGTAATCATTGAGTTGGCTTCCAAAACAGATTCCTGAGCAAATAAGAAGGGAAAGGGCTGTATCTTTAGGGATTTATCATTTCTCTGTTTTTTAAAATAATAAAATGTGTTACCCACTACTGGCAACCTCCTGAAGTGCACATTAAGTTTATGTTCAACAGTCAGTGGGGGTAGAATGTGGGCCTTAGTGCCTAACACCTGGGAGTTCTTTTGCTATGTTTTCTAAAAGAGGTAGGGGAGACATTTAATTATTCATTTAGAGCTCTTAGCATCCAAACATATACTTTGGGTTGGGTTTTTTTTTTGCCATTTTCTAGATACCTTCACTGTAAGTTTTAAAAAACATCAAATTGTAACTAAAGATCTACTTCCAATCAGTGAAATGGATGGAGTGAATATGCCCATATGATGTTATAGATAAGCTTGTTGGCTTTATTGACTATAATTTCACATGATATTTTACTTGATTTCAAAAGTATTGACTTGATTTCAAGAGTACAGAGCCATCTGTTGGGTTAAGGCTGAGAGACTTCAAACGGAAGATTGCTCTGTATGAGAGGACAGATGTTCCCGTGTGAGTTTTGCCCATTGAAGAAATGGAAGGAGAGAAGAGATATAAGAAGGATCAGAAGAGAAAATAACGGATTAAATTCAAAATTGAATAGTCCAGCCAAAAAAAGCAAGAAGGCAGAGGGTTAAAGACTTGTAGGAAGTAATGTTTTTGTTTTGTTGTTATTGTTAGTGGCTGTTTTTGTTGTTGGTTTTTTGTTTGTTGTATGAGACAGGATCTCTGTAACCCAGGCTGGCCTTAAACTTGAAAGTGCCTGGATTAAAGGAGTGTATCACCACACCAGCTAAACAGCAGTTCTTAATATGTTCACCCAAATCTTTATGTTTTGAGGAATCCCTTTCCTCCTTCTTTGTGTTCCTCCCAAAATTGCTCCCTCTATTGCCTAAAGATTTAGATGATCAAGTTGTGAGAATAGAAATAGATGATAATGAGCTAAAATATATTTAACTGAAATGTGCATTTACTTTTTCTTTTTTAAAAAGAAGGGATTTCAGAGAGAAATTAGGATTTTTTTTTTTTACCTATTTCACACTCTGCAAACTACTTTGACATTAAGAGTGCCACAAATTTAAGTAGTTGACTTTGGGCATTTAATCAAGTAAACAAGTTCAAAGGCAGTTATGAATACAGAATTTTAGGACCTACTCCTCTTTTTCATGAAGGCTAGTCCATTTCTAAAACAAGCACTTGCTTAATAGTTGTGATTTGTTTTATTGTCAGCTATTAAATTTCACCTAGCTTTGAAAACAAACATACAGGGCATAGTTATTCTCAGAAAGTCATTTTTTTCTCTGTGACAGTACTGGAGTTTGAACTCAGTCTCATACTCACTTGGATTGCTTGCTTCTCTAGCACTCTAATATCTGAGCCATGCCTCTAGCCTGACTTTTTGCTGGATAATTGGAGATAGAACCTTTTCTGCCTGGGTTGGCTTTAAACTACAATCTTACAGGTTTCATATTCCTAAAGTAGCTAGGATTATAGGAGTAACCTACCAGTGCCCACAGAAAGTAAATTTTATTTGAGCTCTAGTGATATAAATTAGTTTGATTCCATGTTGATGAAAGAAATATCTCTATTAAAAAAAAACAAAACCAGAACTGGCAATCTTTGAAAGACCCAGCACTTCCTGACTGGGGTATCAACCTCTGCCTCTTATAAACTCAGCACACGGCTATTTGATGACAATTAGCACTTTCTACTGCTTTGGTCTACCTAACTACTCATTTTACCCGATGCATTTACTGAATCCAAACTGGGAAGTGAGTAATGGAGAGGGTGAGGCTTACCAAACACATAGCAGATGCACACATCCATCTCTTATTTGGGTTAGGAAACTAAATAAACGAGTGTCACTGGTAGATAATCAGCCCTTGGGGCAAAAGCCTGGTCTGCACTTGTACTGTGAAGTCAGATGACGTTAGGATGAATGAGCACATGTGTGAATTCAGGGTGGGGAGGGAAGTATGTTCCACAGGCCTTAAGCTCATTGGGTGAGAATTGTGACAGTTCTGTGATTTTAGCCAGTCATAAGCACAGAGAGAATAAGTGCAAATATCCTATTAGAATATTTTAGAACATCTTAGGAAAAGCCAAACAAATTCCAAGATACAGTTTTTTCTGTTCCTCCTTTCTAATAATGTACAAATAAGAGTGTTTTAGACATAATAGAAACAAGCTATAAGTGACTTTCTAAATCACACTATCTAACATGGCAACATGACTTGACCAAATATATCAGCTTACTTAACTCTAGATCTTGTAGTAGCTCAAGGCTGCCTATGGTAAAAGTAAGATA